AAGTGTCAACTATAGAACTCTACCAATTCAATCAGCTCCTAAAACTGATGTTTACATATCCTTGCCGTTCAGGGGTGATCAACAAAGTCTGGTCACTAGACAAAGACTCAAGGCCGCAATTAATAGAACTTATTATGCAGCTAAACTTATCTTCATAGAGAAAACGAGAACTATGCTGTCCTGTAAACCCTCACATTATCCGAACGATAGTGTCACATCCCATTGTGTTTATCAATTTACATGTATGTGTGGACACACGTACATAGGGAGGACCCATCGGTCTCTGCAGATTAGGTCTACAGAACACATTCCAAAGTGGCTGCAACAACAAATGAAATCGCCAGACACAAATGACCCCGGAAATAGATGTCCAACATCATCTACATTGAAGCATATAAGGTTGATTTCAACAATGCCTTTAAGCCCATATATAAAACAAGGTTGGGTCACATACTTAAATTCGTTGAAGCCTTGGCCATAAAAAGACTTAAACCTGTCTTATGTGTCCAAAAGTTATTTGTTGTCACCTTAAACCTGCCTTGGTGATCCAATTTAGAACCAAGGTTCAATTTACTTCATAATATTTTCAACCCCTTCTTTGCTTTGTTTTTTCTCTTTTCTTCTTTCTTACCACCATCATTACTCACTAAAGAGCAGATAAATCCAGATGACGAGTCCCGAGTCTGATGAAACGCGCATTCAGACGCTAGTCACCACATTACAAATGACTTCAGATTTATTCTATTTAAATAATTTACTACTCAAGACTGAGATCTACGTGAAAACCGTTCACTACCTGGTTTAATATCCGTCGGCGGCACAGCGGTAGAATGCTTGCCAACCACGTTCCATGTGGTTCGAGGTTCGATCCCCGGCCGACGCACTGCTTTACCTCTCTAAGCCAGTAATAAGACCGGCAAAGAGGGAAGGTTGAACATGAGGCTAGCAACCCCATCCCGTAAAAATAAATACCACTGCTATCGAAACTTCAAGCCTTTAGCTTAAATCCACATGTTCCACTGCGAACGGAAAGGAATAATAAACCGATTTGTTAAAGTGCTCATCCTTAATTCATCTACTTAAATGTAGCTATCTCTCCTGTATTCGAAATTAAGAGAAAAACGTCAATTAGATCTCAGCCTTTGTTAGCCCCAACGAACAGAACATATCTATGACCCCTGAGGATCTTACTTCAAGATTAACTTTTGCATCATTTGAGTTTGGTGAGTAGTTTTATTTCCTGAAGATTTTAGAAATGTCATACCAATGAGCATTTATGCTCAGAAGACCATTTCAGCAAGAGCTTCGTCCTATGCTTAGAAGCCTAATTTCCCTAATATTCAGGTGTCTTTTCGTGAATAAGACAAAAATGGTGGAGATTTGTGGCTCAGGTAGATATTCACGATGTGGCACCGTTCTCTAAGCTGGATGGTTTAACTGTAGATGTTTCATTATCCTTCTAGACAATATGTTTAATACTCATTTTGAGATGAAATTATTTTTCTCAGTTATCAGTGAATAATTTAGCTATATATATTCAAACCAAGTTCACTTTTAAAAGTTTGAAAAAAAATTCGGGCATTGGGTATATGATATATTCATTATAATAAAGGTTTTTGTATTTCCCGATGAATGAAAAACAAAACGATATTGTTTTTACTGACGTTTCGCTATTTAATGCTCCTGCTAATAGCTTTATCAAAGTATTAATAAACCAGAATTTAAAAATCTTAGCTTATATATAACAACTTAATCATCGTTCCTCAGTATGGGGTCATTTTTCGTTGTCAAATTGGCCAATTGGTGAAGGTATCAAAACCAGGTGTAGATGACTGTTGGATTTGATAAGTGTATAAAATTATAAAAGCAGTATGTGTTTACATAATGAAATTGCTTATCACATCCGTGTTGATTTTGTCATTTCATGGGCGAGGGGGATGTTGTAACCAGGTCAAATTCTGTTTTAGTCCATCATTCCTGTTCATTAGATAATTTGGATTCCACTTGATATGAAGTGCTTAGACGCTCTTTGAGATTACTGGAATTTTTCTTGATTATTTCAATATTGTCCAAGTCGATTTTTGACCGGATTCTATAGTGTGGAGACCCACTACTGATGATTTTCCAAGCTTTTCTAGTTCAACCGGATTTCTCCGTGGTTGAACAAATGCTCTGCTGTCTTCGTTTCCTCTGATTTTGATATTTCGAGATGTTTGTCCGATGTATATCGCACCACATTCCAAGCATTTTATTTTATAGACACATTTAGATAGAGAATCTTTAGGGATTCGGTCTTTTATATGGACAAGGTTGTTTCGCAGTGTGCGTGTCTGTTGTTTTGAAGAAAACTCTGATGTCGAGCTTATTGAGTACTCTTCTGATATTGTCTGATATTTCCACTCAATATGGAATGACAATTTTTGAGGTCTTTGTTTTCGAAATACGTGTTTTCGACCATACTTAATGTCAATGTTCATTGGGAAATACAAGAAAACCTTTATTATAATGGATAATTTAGCTTTCTTTATTTTTAAATATATTTTTACTGTCATTATGAATAACTATTTTAATTTTCTTTTTCTGAAATCTCTTCATTCATTTAGACGGGTTACTCAGGTGGAAAATGTGATGAATGCACAGAAGGTTATTTCAATCATGAAGGAAAATGTTTACAGTGTTATTGTTCTGGTAAAACATCATCTTGTCGTCTATCCAATGAACACTACTTCTGGAATATTACACCGGTATGTTTATGAATAAATATTTCCATATATAATAAAATTGGAGGTATCTTGGAGGAAGTCTTGTCAGACCATGATTTCGCGCTTATAGGTACTCGTCAGCAAAGCTCTGAACACACATCACTAACTTTTAGATTCACAGGGGTTAATATTCTGCTATTTAGAACTCTAAATGACCCTCCGTAGGACTCCTGTCAGGTCACTTAGCAGTGTATTCACCAATTTAGAAGACTCATCACTTGAGAGCACAGTTTTTGAATTCATGTTGGATGATTGGCGATAGTCGGTAGGAAGTTTGGGAACTAAGTTATTCGCTTATTGGTTTTTTATCGGTAAGGCTTATCTGCAACTTTCGGGGATAAATCATTGCTGGAAAGGGATGTAAACTAATTGTCAAGAAGCGCATGAAGGGCACAAATGCTCAGGAAGTTCACATGAGCCGGAAATGATTTAAACTCCAGTAGCTTCTGTCCATCGCAATGCAAAATAGGTATACAACGCATATTGATTGGGGAAGAAGTGCAAAATCTCACTAAAATATGAATGGGCAACAATTATTTTCCGAAATAAATTAAGTAATCGGCTCTAATAACAACTACCAACCTCAAAAGAGGATGTGGATATTATTTTACAGTTCAAGGGTCGTCGCCAAAGTCGGTTCATTAAACACAGACTCAAAGAGGAACCATATAAATCCTACTAATAATGTGATCAAGCTCATATTTATGAAGAAGATGGAATTTAAATTGTCCCGTAAACACTCACAACATTTGAACGATAGTGCCACCTCCCAATAGGTAAAATAGTAAAAATAAATGTTTGGTCACGTACATATACATTCTGAGGACTCTTCAACCCCTGAGAATTTCCGGCAGTATAGCGCATTTCGTAGGGTAGCTGCAAAAGCAAACCGAATCATCTTAAGCAAGTAACCCTGGGTAGAGGTATCCGAACGGAATCTATGAAAAGGGTTGATTTTGATGCTTCTTCTAAATGAAAACAAACCATGTTCAGGCTCTTTTCGGCGGCGAATTCATCCTCCTCTTTAGCTGTACAATCGCACTTATATGCAATTTGTTCTTCATGAAAGAAGGTGGTAACAAAAGTGACGAGTTGTCACATGCATAGTTGTTAGTATTAATCAGTGCATAAGAGACTCTGTATAAGTGTATTGGAGTAACGCAAAAAGATGAATAATTTGATGAATGAGTTGTGATCAGAATGTACACAGAAACGTACGAAATTATGGAATTATGCAAGAGTTTTAAAGAAACACCAGGGTTATAAGGAATTATTGATAGAAGTATAAAACTTGGGCACTGTGGTATAGAATAACTCCATTATATATAAGATTGTATTTTGATAAATCACACACACACATCTCATCCGTTGTTTGTAAAGGCTGGCTTAGTTAAGTGTCTAAGAAACCGAGCAATGGCACTAAGTAGCACAAAAAAACCTAAATGATGAAATGAAACAGATAGAAGAGGCGTTGGTGTTGACCAACTGTCCTATAAAATTCATTGGGAAGATCAGAAAACATCAAAAGCAAAATAAAAACAATGGTGAAACTTATAATGAAAACATAAATAAGAGAGAATATAGGGCATCTACAGTTCTACCATATAAGGAGGGGACATCTGAGACTCTACGTAGGATTCTTAATAAAGCAGGAATTAGGGTGGCATTCAAACCTACAAACTCACTCAGAGACAAGCTCTGTAGGCTAAAGGACCCCGTAGGTTGATTCAATTAAACAAAATAATATAATTTACAAAATACCCCGCAATGACTGTGAGTGAGGTCAACTACATGGGTCAAATTATTAGGTCGGGGGTAGTCAGATTGTTGGAACATAAGAATTTAGCTAAGGTTGGAATGATTGACCCCGAGAAGATAAGTAATTTAGAAAAAAGCTCAGCAACTGCACTGCATGCATTAACACACAACCACACAATAGGGTGGGAGAGGGTTAAAATTCTAAGAAGTAATCTAGGTAGGTGGAGAGAGAGATTGATTACTGAATCCTGCCTGGTTCATCGAGTCTACACCCAACACATGCAACAGAAATGACTCAATGCAAATACTAGAGATATGGAAGATATTATTACCCCCAGGCAGTCAAATCAGAGGATAATAAATAATCTTAAAATTCCATCTCAGTTCACGTGCGTCACAACATTTCAACAAGTTATTTATTTATTTTACTATAAACGCATCTTATTTCCCATCTTATCGTATTTGATTGATAACACTCATATTATTATTATTTCCGAATGTACATTATCCTATACTGATTTTTATTCAAATGTCTAATCATCAATTCCACTCATGTATATAAATGAAGCAAGAAAGTTGTGTAAGTGAGTGACTTGATATGATTACGAGCAGTAATAAATTGTGCTCGAAACGTGGTCGCATCAGTTAATATTACTGTATAACACTGTGTGATTTATCAAAATAAAATCTTATCTATAATAGAGTTATAAGGAGTTAGAGAAACAAACAAACAAAAATCAAGTCTGTAGAAATCAACAAGTTTGTTACGATGATAGTAGAAGTGGTTGAGTAATTTTCTTTTGTATACATAGCTCCAGTTTTTCTATTTGAATGGCTAAAGCTTCAGCTATGCATAGAGGAGACGAAGGCGTATTACCTTTGACAGGTTGTTCTTCACTTTGTAGATTACTTTGATGTGGGAAGCGTTTGTTGAGATGGAATGACCAGTGTTGACATGTTTGCGTCGTACATCTAAGTTTGTTAAAGCCCTAGCCATAAAAAGGCTTAAACCTAATTCACAGGTTCATAAACTATTCGTTACTGTAGTGAATTTTCTGTGGTAATCCGATTTTAAAACCAAGGGTTATTTAAACAATTATTATTATTCCCTTGGGTTCCAAGTGGAACACAGGGCTTCAGCAACATATCTCCACCCTGCTGTCCTCTTCATCTGGGCCCACGATTGCCCATAATCTCTCATCTCCTCTAATTCGCTTGATCTTCTGCATGTGACCCTCGCAGTGACGACCCAGTTGTCGCTTCCCATTTTGATTTCACTCGAGTAATGGCCTCCATTGCGCGCAGTGTCATTCGACAGCCTCCACAACGTATGGCTGATCAAACTCCATCTTCCCTCACAAGTATGCTGACCGATCGGCTCTTAGTTGTCTTGTTCCCAGCCAGAGTTTCTTGTGGCTAATTCTTTCTGGCTGGTTGGCCGGTTGGCCATTTGATCTTCAGTATGAAGCCAGCTAACGAAGGTGGCAGCTGTTGATAAAAATCTATAACTTGTTGGACACAATAGTATTTCACTTTTGCTATGACCCTTACCCCTAAATTGACATTTTAACCCCATTATGACTTACTTTTATGGAAATACGTATAATAATTACGTATGCAAGCAGAATGATTGAAACGTGTTGCGGAAATACATTCCACATGTCAGATAAGTCACGCCTATTGATTGTTTTATCGAAATTCACAAAGAAAAAAGTGTCTGTTTGAAATAAAGACAGATATAAGGAACGTTTTCAATGTCTGGCTTTGAAATCAGGTTGAATCTAATGCTGTATCACATTAAAAAATCAATTTGAAGAAGTGAGAACTTAAATAAAGCAAGAAAAACAATGTGGTTTGTGCAGAATAATATGGTACCATCATTTATTACGTAGGTTTCTCATCATCTGCTTACAGCTTCAATAAATTATGAGGTTTATGTACAGAAAAGTTCTAACATACTTGCGAATTTGTCATAATGTCAGAAGGTTCCACAATTAGTGAACAGTGCTCAGAAAATTGCTCTTGTATAGTTTTTATGCAGGCAGTTCGAGTTTAAACAAAGCAAATGTACACATACAATTGTAAAGGAGTTAGGTAATAAAGACGAGAGATGCGTAAGATGCTTAGTGACTAATAAGTTAGGTAACAATGTACACTATATCAACGCAGGGTGCGGTTGAGGCCAAAGATTACGCAACCAAATGCAAGAGAGAATAAAGAAATCCAGTTACTGGGGCAAGGAAAGACTGATAACTGCTTCTTTCTGAACATATAAATCTGGTTTCAAGCGTTTGATAGAAATTGCTTCGGCAAACTTGAGGAGAATCGAGCTCCTTTGTCTATTGATAATTTTAAAGGATTTCGTGATTTCCACCTCATGACCCGTATAAAGGAGATGCCTGGTAATGGTACTATTATATGCGTTTGTTCTCATGAAACGTAGGCTTTTTAGTACATGTCCATAAAATCGGAGGTGCGTGTGTCTGGTTTACAAATAGTTGTCTATTACACTGATTAACGATTAAGACGACTTTGATGTTATGTGGCTGCAAGTAATCATTACGGAGTGTTGGATCTTGATCTTGTGCTTAGTCACACTCATTGGCTGGGCATATCTCAAAAGAAATTGAATTCCAATATGGGATCTCAACCCTCAGCATGTATCTTTCTAATTCACTGCAATCAACGTCAGGATAAAAGAACTTCTTGATACTGATGACTTGGTATTTTTCAACGGACAATTACATACAAATTATCCGTACTGCGGCTAGAATGTCACTCTATGACTGGACTGTAACTGAAACTTGGCCACTCACTTGGTCCTGTGGCATATTAGACAGAATGCCAAGGTGACAGTCAGTGTACAACGATGTAAATTCAACGAAAACATAATTCTAGTTATATAATGGAGGCAAATTATGTAATAACATTTTGGGTGGGATATTTAAGTCAGATTATTCATTTTCACTTTTATCCCATTATTATTTCCAGGAGGATTCAGCTGGATTTGGTTTCAATGTTTGGCTTGGTCAAAGATTATCAATGGGTGGAGTAGAACGTGTTGAAAGAACTCCTGATGGAGTTCCACGTATTGAACGTGTTGAGGACAGTTTTTACGTGAAACATCCGCTTAGTAATAAGGGAGTAATTCATTTTGGAATTGATTTAATTTCTCCGAAACCAACTTCTCCAACACAAAATGATGTAACTATTTATGTAAGTATTCTTTTTATTCTACTGTCTAACAGTGAGAAGTTTATGGAAGTGATTGCGATTGACACTTAATTAAGGGCAAAATGCCAGTAGTTCAGGAGTGGAATGGTCCCCAATCATACATGTGGTGTGGATTCGATTTCCAGTCGACACATTCCTAGACATCGCCTAGCGGGCAGTAAGGCCAAAACAGAGACTTAGTGGGTAGAAAGATCAGCATTCTCATCTCAGCAACTGAAAATTAAAATCTCAGGTTTCGAGTCCTATATTCTAGTGAGAAAACAGACAAAAGGCTGATGAAACTGCGACGTATAAATAAAAAGACTGTAACATAGCTTCCTAGACGAATGAAAGTTCATACATTACACCATGAGTTAAGCTTATCGTATGAAGACCGATGAAATTGGACATTGATTTGGGGACCCACAAATTAAAACTACGTATTTATTCACTAATTGCGAAGTTTTAAAGATTGAGGATACAAATTTATCAAGTGTTATTTCTCAAGGATTTGATTGCTTACAGGATTAATGACTAGCCGACATTGGTCAGAGAACCACTAGGAAACCTTGAAGTACTGAGCAGCCAGTTGTCTCGTCTTAGTTTGGGACTCTTCAACAGTGCGCACTCTACCAACGGGGTTCAGAACCAGGAACTACCAGTTACGAGATGAGTTTGTAGACCATTCGGCCATTGGGACCCGATCCAATGGTCCACGAATTCCATCGTTTACTCACTTGTTCACCCGCTTGCCTCGTTACCTGATGGTCCTGGGTTTAAGCCCTGACAAAACATCTGGCTTTCAGGTCGTCCAGTGGTTCCCTTATTGAGAAACAACTAATTGAGAGGCAGAAAATGTGACGCCAAATAGGATTTCAACATGAAGTCGAAAATAAGATTCGTAAATCGAGTGAAGATTTTCGGTGTTTTTACAATCTCTACGCTAGATAGTTTCTTTGTGAAGCTTTCATTTTCTTTCTGGACAACATCTTCAGGGTGAAATCAAGGCGCTTAAGACGTCCTCTAGGAAGCTGATGAAGGGTACGTTAATGTACCATAACACACATAGGACACAACAATATTGAAAAATTCCCGTTTCACATGTAAATGACCTTTACCACACTAATTTAAACATATTAGACGTTACTATGAAGATAAAGTTCAATAGGTAACTGGATTCAGTGTCAATGCTGTGAACGTACTTAAACTACAATAAATGAAAATTCTTTGGAGAAAGAACAACTTCATCGAGAATACTGAGGATTTCCAGAATCTAACAGATAAAAGAACTGAATATACTCGTACTTTTGAAATTTATTTTGAACTATTTCCAACATTGATTCCTAACATCCTGGAAGGTCGAACCACGTATTATACACATCCCTACATGACTAAAACCAATAGTCAGAGATGTCTTGAATGGAGCCACGTTTTTTCGTACTAACCGTTTTTCAACTTAGTTCTATCCCAGCTGATACTGGTCATCTACAGAGGTGATGATTGAATATCCGTTGTCTTGATTGAAGTTCTCAAAGTAAATATTTACCCAAAAGCAAGTCAAATAATCTCAAAAGAATGGTTGCTGAACAAAGAATACGCTTTTCGATAACTTCATCAACAGGTTCTACAGTTATACATCCATCCATAATAGTGAATGAATTAGTGTCATCAACAACTTCAATGCTGTTTAAATAACATCGAATCAATAATATCAATGGATTACAGTTCGACAGCATCAACATAACTATATACACTGAATATCAGAGAAATTAGGAAAGATAATAATACAAATTCATGAATTTATAGTCTCCACTGAAGGCCAGTCAGGGCAGTATTGGTGGCTGGACTTGCTTCTTTTGCACACAAAGCACTGGTTGCTTCAAGAGAATCACTATAGCCTCTGCTGTTTCGGGTATGCCGTACCTCAATGTTTTTCGCAGTTTATTTGGTACCCCGTAGATAATGATAGAGAAGGATTCGTTAATGCTGGCTGGCTTTGTGGCTGGCCACTTTGGACCAGGTGGTCAAATATAGAACTGTTGGTGGTTTTTACTACGCCTTTACTTAGGCATACTGGGAGATGTTCTCGAGCATGAAAAATCAAGTTCCTAGAGCTTAGATGCTACAACTGTTCGAAAAGACTGTCATCTACAGGGAATAACTTTCAGTGATGAAATAGGTGGAAAGAGACAATAATCAGTGATTAAAAGTAACGCATTTGAAATGGAACGATATACTATATCTATCAACATTAATGACTGCCATCCTGGAACTAGTTGTGTGAGATGTAGTTTGAATCAACACTGCCTCACTTCCAAAATCCTATTGGCGCCAAATCTATCTTTTCATTTATCCTCTATTTTTAAATTAATTATTGACAAACTAATTCTGTTTTAATTGTACTTCATTTTCTAATTTCTCTATTCCCAAATAAAATTTTTTTCCATTTTTTTTACAGAAATACTTGTATGGAGGTCAAATGTCGTTTAAAATTGATTCAATTAAAACTGATCCAAAGGAATTAACTCAAAGAGAAGCAAGTGTTATAGTGGAACTTGAGGTAATCAAATAATATGACTTTATATATTCATGGAATATATATATATATATGTAACACTACTATTATTATTACTGATTCCCTGAATCCGGGGTAGCGCACAGGGCCTAAGCAAATATCTATATTCTAATAGGTGCCTTGACATCCATTTGATGAACAGTCTCTACTATTTTCATTTATATCTGAGTTGTTCTGATTCATGAAGAAAATAAAAGATAAATTCAGCGAGGAAAATTTTCTTTATCAACGAAATCATCTTCACAGGTTGCCATACAGTCGTATTTATATTTATCAAAAATGTATAGTAGTCCATTATTGAGTAATAGGGGATGACATAATTGATATAATTACTCCGAAGTGGCTTTAGAAGTAAAAAATAAAAGTTTTAAATTACACAGTACTCAGTGGCACAAAGGAAGAAAGCGTTAGAAACCTGAAAATGTTAAAATCACTATTGAGTGAATAAAGGTGGTAGCTGAGTGTACCTTTAACAAGTGTGAAGAGGGTGTGAAAATATACAAAAGGAGCATATGAGAGTGATAATAGTGAATTAATTATTAAAGTAAAAGCAAACTAAAAGTAAAATTTAAAAAATTAAAATTTTTTACAGGGAACGACTAGTGAAGAGGTTAAGACCAAGGTAGAATAAGAGACTGGAAAAAATTTCTCTGTATTCACCAATCGTCAGCGCCTCTGCCATACACAAATACCGAAACCTGACTCCCTTTGTACTATTTGGCCTCACCTTGTAGATATTCTTGAAAGATGACTCTGGTGGAGCTACGTGGCTTGAGTTCACCAAGTGCCCGAGAATTGAGCTAGTAATTATCTTGCATTCTCGTTTTGCTAAGCATATCGGATAATGTTCAGAGATGCATTTGGAAAGTGTGCGCCAAGCTGTGTGGCCAATATAACTAGCTCCACACGAGCAGGTGAATTTATCAACACACACTGGAGTGGCCCAAAGTGGTAGCTTATCCTTCACATATCCATTGACCATTTGTCGGCTGTAAAAATCGATCCCTAGCTTAGCTGTAAAGAATGGTTTTCTCGGTGATATGTATAAGCGATTCTCCACAACCTCAGCTGCGATATCATCTTTGAATAGAACGTTCATAAATAGCAGTTTCTTCGACACCGTCTGAGTTCTTTCAGGCTTGTGTTTTAACTCAATGTTTTTTCCTTGATGAATCTTGGAGGATATCCATTGTCTATGAGTCGATCAAGTTCCCGTCTATTGTATCACTGGTGCATATCCTTCGTATTCTTGAGGATAAGGAGTGGATCAGATTTCTCTTTCTTCTCAAAGGGACCCAACTATGAAAATTCATGTATTGACCATTCCATGTTGGTTTCCTGTAGATTGATCTTTGAAGAGAACCATCAGATCTCCTTTTTAGCAAAACATGCGAGAAAATGGAATTCCGAGTTCATCTCTGATTCCAACGTGAACTGGATAGCATAATGGCAGTTGTTGAACTCTCTAGTTATCATTTCGATGTCCGTATTCTCGTCACGTATGATGAAAGTATCATCCATGTATTTTTGGTACAGATGGAGACTATCGATAATGTGTAGTAACATAGTAATCTCTAAACTTGTCAAGCAGCAGTCTGCAAGTAAAGGACCCAATGGTGGCCCCATTGCCACTCCATCTTTTTGTTTATAAAGCCTGTTGATTCATTTCTACTGTCTTTTTCCCCTACAGTCACCACGATATGGACGTTCATGGACTTTGGCAATATTCAATCTAGAAAAACAACGTTATGAAATTGAATTCAATGAAAATTGGTGGCCAGGAGGATGGCGTTTAGGTACACCTTTAAATCCATTCGATTCACAAACTAGTATGACAAGAGATCAGTTATTGCGTGTATTGACCACGACAACAAGTATTGGTATTATAACAAGTAGTGGAGACAGTGAATCATTGAATGGAATGAAATTGTCAGGACTATCTATACAAGTTGCTCTACCAGTTAGAACAAGTGAACGTCAATCATTTGCAAGACAACAAGGTCTACCAATAGCTCCAGTCGAGATGTGTGAATGTCCGAATCCAAGTGGTCCAGATGAACGTGAATTATCGCCAAGTTGTGAAGTAAGTTAACTGGCGTGGTTAAACTCTTTTGAAACTCGATGTTGTATAATCCTAACGTTAGGCATAGATCGATTATCAAATAGATGTGAGTCAGTGATCAGTGAAGTGTTTGAAAAATTTATCGTATATGTTCAGCTCCCTCCCCCCCCCCTTCACAGGCTGTTATCAATGACAGCGATAACCTGGAGGCAGAATGAAATCAGAATTGGTTGGGGGATTTCATCATGAGCTGACATCAGTTTAGAGAACCATTGGAAAACCACCATCGAGGACTAGACAGCTACTTCATCGGCCTAATTTGCGACTCGTCATCAGTACGCACCCACTGGGATTTGAACCAGGTTTAGTTTCATGTTATATCTCTTAGGTGTAACCTTATAGCTGGGATAACAATAAAGTAACATTTCTGAGAAACTTCATGCATTTATTCCCCTTGATGAATTTAAATAAAGCAAGAACAACAGTGGTTTGTGCAGAATAATATGGTACCATCATTTATTTCGTCCGCTTCTTATCAGCTGCTTACAGCCTAAATAAATTGTGAGGTTTATGTACAGAAAAGTTTTAACATACTTGCAAATTTTACATGTTGTCAGTTGACAGAAAGTTCCACAATTAGTGAAAAGTGTTCAGAAAATTGTGCTTATATAGTTTTTACACAGGCAGTTCAAGTTTAAACAACATAGATGTATGCATACAATGGTAAAGGAGTTACGTAATAAAGACGAGAGATGAGTAAGATGATGAGTAACTAATAAATTTGGTAACGATGTACTGAGTTCAAATCACGTCATAGAAACAAGAGACAAGCAATGTTACAGATAAAAAATAGAGGGGTGAGGTTAAAGACAACGATTACATAATCAGAGTAGAGAATAAAGACTTGCAGTTACCATGGTAAGGAAAGACTAATAATTGCTTCTTTCTGAACACATAAATCTGGTTTGAAGCGTTTGATAGAAATTGCTTCGGCAAACTTGAGGAGAATGGAGCTCCTTTGTCTATTGATAATTTTAAAGGATTTCTCGATTTCCACCTCATGACCCGTGCCGAGGAGATGCCTGGCGATGGCACTGTAAGCAACTGATGAGAAGCCGACGAAATAAATGATGGTACCATATTATTCTGCACAAACCACTGTTGTTCTTGCTTTATTTAGATAAAGTAATAATACTAAAGTACTGGCAATGAATTTAAAAAGATTTCTGGTAGTGTCTGGCAGTATGGTTCAAGGTCAGAGCTATGTCCTTTTGGGGCCTCATCAACCGGGCGTGCATGCATTCCTACTAAGTGATAATGTTTCTACTCAATCTTGACATTCTTATTCCAATAACTTCAAACCTTAAACTAGTCTCTCCTACACTTCTTTAAAGATGAATTTGTAGAGTTACATAATGACCATATTAGGTTAAATAATAATCTTTATCCTTTGGTGTTAGGTAGGATGTGTCGTATGAAGCCTATTACACAGCATACTATTGATCTATTCTTATCCACCTCAGTATCAACTAGTGCATGAAATCATCTTTATTCGTTTGGGTTACATGTTTTTCTTTTCTTTTATAGGGTTGTAAAGATCTATCAAAACAAACAGTAATTCGCCTAGAACCCCTTGGTGAAGATTTAACCTGTGGAGGCTGTTCAGGTGAACAATGTGGAGAGTAAGTTATGGAAATATAAAATTATTTAATAATAATGTTCCCTTGGATTCCTAGTGGAAAATAGAGCTTCGATAGCACATTTCCACTTTGTTCTATTCTTTACGGTCGTTTTCTGCTGGTATCACGATTGCCTGTAGGCTCTCATCTCCTCTTCACAGAATGTCCTTCATGTCACCCTAGAATATCCTACTCGTCGTTCCCCACTAGGTTTCCCCTCGGGGGCCTGGCGTGCTATGTTATAAATTAACTGTGCAGAAGTGCGAATTTCTTCAGATGTAACAATTTATCTGATCTGATTGAGTAAAATCGGTCCACTTTCCTGCACAAATGAGCCACAGAGCGGCGAATTTTAATAAGATAGATTGTCTTAAAAGAGTAGCCACGCACGCTCGTCTTGTTGACCATCTAATCACGTCCTTGAAGAACAGCCTGCATTTCCGAATAGCGTTCAGCATACTGCTAGGTATGTAGTGAAGGGATGAAACCGTTGGATTGAAATGCAGAATCCGGGATACCTGAATGCATCTGCATTCAAACTGAGTGATAGTGTTCCTAATGAGATTTGAATTCGATGCCAATCTATTCAAACACGAAAGCCTTGTGTATTAGGCCATCTCCTATGCAATGGTGTAAGTTGTTGGTCATTGGAATGAGTACTTTAAATCCCTCATTGATTGTCTGTATTGAACAGAAATGCTAGATCTCCATTGACAGGTGAGCTTCTAGTACGGATGATTCAACGTTGTATTAGGGTAAGCATGACAGAAACTTCAAAATAATTTCAAAAGACCAAAAGACGTGGAGAAAATAATGACTTTAACAAATAGGAACGTGAAATTCAATAAAAGATATTATCAACGGAGCATGCTGCACAAATGTACCACTGTAGTTCTAGCTATGAAAATCTAAATTCACCAAACCATTCACTTCATTACTTCTCCTTCAGTTTGGTAGAATAGTTTGAATAACCTCTTATCGATGAAGTCAGCCTTAAGAAGTTTACAAATCGCTAAATAGAATTCTCAACCACGCTGTGCTAAGTATGTGTATTTAGCTTTGTCCATATATAATATAAACCCACAAATTATCAGAGATTTGATTAAGGCCTCGAGACCTATTAAAATCTCTCAGAAATAATAACATCAATGGGAATTAGTCTGGAGGTCCTTTGTAACTAACTTAGGATTTTTAATACAGAAAGCATGGGAGCTATTCATTGCTACGAAAACGGTGTCGAGACATGCACCACTCAGCGTAAGGAACAGGATACGAATTTCCAAGACTAACATCAACAAAGAATTTCTGTATGGTTTAGCGGCTTAATGTACTTATCACTTAAAGAATTTGCAACAGGTTGATACAGGCTTTCATCAACAGATACCGTCATTCAATACTGAAAGTCAGACAGCTGGTCAGAAAAGATAAGCAACATGGCCATATAATCTACTACCCGATAAAAATATAGGAGGAAATAGGAATGGACTAGACTAAGCTGAGAAGATGCAGAATTAACAACTGGATGACAAGGTTTCGAGCACAATTTATTGCTCATAATAATATCGTTTTTATTCACACGGTTTCATAAATTTTACTAATTGATCACGGATTGACATCAGTTAGAGAACCATTGAAAACCAGGGAGTCCCAGTGGCTGAATGGTATACGAGCTTGCCTTATAACCGGAAGGTCTTGGGTTCAAACCTTGGCAGTGGGTGCGTACTGTCGATGATTCCCAAACTAGGATGACACAGCTATCCAGTACTCCCCGGATGGTTTTCAATGGTTCTCTAACTGATATCATTCTGTGATCAACTCGTAAAAACAAACCAACTATTGAAAATCATATGTATTTTCTCTCTTTCTGTCTCTTCAATTTCCTTTTTTTGTTTGTTGCCACTTTCCACGTCTCCGGTATAGGCAGAGTTGCGTCATTCTGATTGCATATGTGCTGCGGTGTTGGATCGATAAACAAAGCTTCAGTGATTAACGTCTCTGTCTCTCTCACCCTATTCCACGCACCCTTTGGTTTGTGATTACATGCAAATGAATGCAGTTCAATGGCTGAGCTTTTTTCTAGGTTATGTAACTTAGCAGGGAGTCATTTATTCTAGGTCTGGGTGAATTTTGTTGTTCCAGTAATCTAGTTGACCCCGATCTACTATTCTGACTGACCTATGTAATTGACCTCACACTTATTACATGATATAATCGGGCCAAAAGACTAACTAGTAAGTCAGAAGATCTAAACAATGAAATCAGAAAAATAGAGTAAGGAAACTTAATCTAATATGGAATTATGTACTGCCACAGTGCCACAGACATTCAAGTAACAACACATGCCATGTAGACGCTTGAGCAGAATCTGAATAAGAGGCAATAAGTTGGATTTGGTACCGAGGGCGACAGTATGAAGATTATAACAAAAGGAAATGACACCTTGTTAGGCAGTCCAACACCTAGTCAAAAGTCATAAAAAAGAGCCGCGGGAAATGCAGTCGTATGCTCTATATTTTTCTCAGAATCATTTAACACAAACTGTATTTTATCCTTACCAAATACTTCAATATGAACACTGTCCATTAAGCAGTCGATTCTGTTTCATCTGAACAATTCATGTCAAAAATTTTTTTAAAAAAACAAAACAATTAATATCTCTTTACAAAAGGTAGAAAAGTAGCAAAGATTACTCTTCTTCACACTGCCCTTGATATTTACCAAATATGATAGGGGATATTTTTTGAAGGTTGACAATATGCCCGTAGAATTACAAGACTACTGTGATGATTGTGTCTACATTCTAGTTTGCGTATAATTTTTTTCCATAAATTACAAAACACACATGTCATACTACTTTCAGTCATTTTGAAGTGTACATTACCTGGAGAACATTCTTCTATTTTTGCAAAAAATGCCAAATACACTATTGTTTTTAAGATACATGCCTGACAAACGACATCTAGATTATTCCAAGAATGCAACACTGATTATAGGACATTAAAAGTTAACTTATACAGTTTCTGTTAAATTCTTTTAAAAGTTACATAATTAACAAAAGGAAAAAAGTTTTCAAGTATTAGTTTTTGCAAGGATTTTTGTTTGTTTGATTGGATGGGGGGATTTCATCATGAGCTGCCATCAGTTAGAGAACCATTTGAAAACCACCGTGGAGTACTCGACAGCTGTTTCATCAGCCCAGTACGCACCCACCTCCAAGGTTCGATCCCAGGACCTTCTGATTACAAGACTAGCTAGCTCGTAGACCATTCAGCAGCCACTGGGACCCGATCCAGTGGTCAGCCCATGAATTCTAACTTCTGACAATTTGAACTCCGTGAGTGCGCAATGTTGAAGAGTCCCAAGCACTAGGACGAAACAGCTTTCCAGTACTCCTAGGTTTTCCAGTGGTTCTCTAACTGATGTCAGCTCATGATGAAATCCTCCATCCAATCAAAAAGAATAAAAGTTTAATTTAGGTAAAGATAATATGAAATATGTTATTAACGCTGATTTGAAATCGCTCAAAAGGCGGTTAATGTCCATTGTTCAATATAGCTAAAACATTCATCCAGGCATCGAGAAAGCAACAGAATAACTGAGCAAAGAATATCCTTTTCGATAGTTTCCTCTTCTGGCTCCACAATTATACATACATATGTTTATATATATATATATGTATAATATTCTAGAATAGTAGTCAATAACAATATTAGTGTTTTCCAAATAATATCGATTTGCTTAGTAAGATCAGTGGAAGCACCACAGTTCAAGAAAGATGCATAAGTTATAATAATCATAAAAATGTAATAGCAAATAGAATAACAACTAAAATTCAGGAAATTTCTACAAAAATTTGAAGATCATTCGAACCTAGTTGGCCAGGTTAAGGATAATGTCTGAACCAACCAGCTTCTTTTGGACACATAAATTAGGCTTCTTAATGTGGATCTCAACAGCTTCAGCAATATATAATAATCGAACTCTTAAGGCGAAATTAAGATTTGTTAGTATGCGGTAAATAACTTTGAAAGCCGCCACGATGACATCAATCTTGTGTTCAGTATCCACAAGACTAGGTAGGATAGCACTATGAATGGATTTTGTTTGTCCTTTACTTGACCAACTAGGCAGGGTGATGTTCGGAAACGCGCCTAATTGTACGGCCTATGTAACCAACTGGCTCCACAGAAGCAATTAAATTGGTAAATACACATGGAAGAGGCGAAATCAGGCAGTTTATCTTTTACACCCGAAAGCAAAATAGGGGTGGTTTTGAAGGTTCCAATTATCTTCAGTTTTTTTTTTTAGAAATTTCCTTAATTTTAGTTAATATTCTATTTGCTATTATATTATTAGTAGTAGTGGTATTATAATTTAAGCATCTTTGATGAACTGTAATTCCATACTGATCTTATTCAACCAATCGATATCATTTAAAAAACACTCATATTGTAAGTGATTTCTATTTTAGAATATTCTATGCATATAAACATAAATAATAATTGCAGGGCCAGAAGAGGAAATTATCAAGAGGGACATTGTTCAATAGTTTATAATGTTCTTTTAAACACCGTGGAATAAGCTTTCATGACAAATGATTGATGTATTGGTTGAAAGTGAAATTAAAGTCTGAGTCACGTCAATATTTGAACCAGTGGTCTCTAAATTGGTAGTCATCTTCACCTCCAGTGATCACCCATTGCATCAGTCTCTCACTAGGGTATGCATCATGGATACCCACTGCTCCCATTTTCGTTTAATTTCATCAGAGCTTTATTACCTAAATTGTCACAAACTAGCTTTATGAACTTAGAGACTGACTTGTTATCAGGAAACAGTCTTGTCCGCGCTGACAAAATGCAGGGTCTTCTAAAAACCTTCAGCAGGAATCTTTGAATATCTGGCAAGTGATTTTGACTTTTCAAATGTAAGGTGGTACTGAAAGGTTGGACTACATCAACCTGTAGCTTACAGATAGGGAGCAACTAATTAACTATCAGATTAAAAAAGAATTAGACCAAATTCTGTGCTGTTGCATGGGTAGCAAAAGGACAACGCAAGACGATCGCTAGCTCGATTCTCGGGCACTTGGTGAACTCAAACCATGTAGCTCAACCGTCGTCATCCTTCAAGATCATCTACGTCATGAAGCCAAATGGTACAAAGGGCATCAGGTTTCGGCATTTGTGTCTGGCGAAGGTGCTGGCAATTCGTCAATAAAACCCCGAACTCTCTGTGTATATAAAGTTTGTCCAGTCTCTTATCGCACCATGGTCTTAACCTCTTCATTAGTCGTTCGCTGTATTTTTTAATTTTACTTTTATTTTACTGTTACTTTAATAATCAATTCACTATTATCACTCTCACAGGTTCCTTTTGTACTAAATTGTCTTTGATTTTGGATTTCTTTTATAGATGCTCAGAAGGCGAATACAACTATGATATATATGGTGGAAAACGTTTGGATGTATGTCAGAAAGGTTAGTCCATTCTTTTCTAAACTTGTATTTTATATTATTCAGTGTTTCGAATTAGAAAGTCTACATGTAGTTGCGTCTTTATTCATCTACATCTTGACTGAGGTGTCAGTTAGATGCATAAACTTCTCTTGACACTGATTGTCCCACAGATATATTGATTACTTTCAGACGAAAATACTATTAATAATAAGGAATTTGAAATGTGGATAGTACTACCATAATTGGAAGGGACATAAGTGGGGCTTATGCAGGATTCGTAAAGAGACTCAAGTGCAACTTACATGGACTGGTCAGTTCACACGGTTCCACTATCATCACACGTGGCACTGAAGTTGAAATTAAATCGAATGTTAAATACATACCATGGACTGTGTACTTCCTCTGATCACCTTTCTTGGTCTTCCCATATAATGTTACTTTCCAGAAATATATTTCGTTTGACGTTCTGTGTAAGTAAGGAAGTTAAAACGATCTGGTATCATTCCCCCTCTGCTGTTACCGTTTGTGTTTGTTAATTGTTGTATTCTGCTTATACTTGTTTACTGTTCCCCGTTAACCTTTCTCTGGCTACTTAAGAAAAACTTTGTTATACTGCGTAGGGTGCCAAAAGCCGTGAGTATGGAGAGTAGGGTGTTCCTAAACCAACTCGTTAATACTATTGTAGACAGATACTTTGATTCCCGCAAGAAACTAGCAAATATTGTCCTGTCAGACTCTGAACAACTTCTCCAAACACAACTCTCTCTTTGCATTTCATCAGGTAGGGGAACTAGAAGCAACTATAGAAGACTGCATGCTCGGACGACTAAGTGCAAAAACTCTGCAATACCTTATTTGACAGGCGCACATTTTATGTGATGAGAAAAGTGTGTAAGACAGGAAATTACCAATTTATTTTGGGAACTATAAGTAAACGGCTTGGTTTTTGTTCTCATTATAACATTGTCGCTAGTATTTTCACTTGATATAATTTTACATTCACTTCCTAGTGAACAATATTATCAATGTATATGCCTTATTTTAATTATTACCTGTGTAATGAGAAAATTAGATGTAATATTATATTACATGCTGAAAATTCCATATTTATACCAAAGGTACTGTTTGGAATAAAGCTAGTATTGTTATTATTAATCAGCGTATCGCAACATAGGGATTTAGTTGGATATAGAATGATTGACCTTACTAAACTGAGTAGTCATGAGAAAAGCTTGACCATCACGACGCACTCGCTTGCATGTTATCATACAATGTGGAAAGTCACATTAAAAACAGGAGGGAGTAGGGATATGTGAAGCAAGTTTTAAAGTTGTGTGAATACATTTAGATACGTCTCACTGACGAGTGACAACTAGCATGAAACCTAAGTCCAAAACTTCCTGCCAATCGCCTCCAACCACCTAATATCAATATTCGGATATGACTATGAGCGATGAATTGTACTCGAAATGTTATCCAGTTATTAATTCAGTGTCTACTACAGAGTTTCAAGTAGCCTGTTTTCATGCATGATGGTTATTTAAATTATATGACTAAGGGGTGGGGGGCATCTCAAAACACTGAAATACTTGACATGAGATAAGATTTATGCTGTAGGTTCTGTCCAACTTATTATGATATTTCAAATTTGGTCGTGAACTGAACACATTTACAAAACTACTGAGAACCAGGGAGAACAGGACGTCCGTTTCGTTCTTGTTTAGAACTTTCCAGGAGTACACACCTGTGACCCCACCACTAGGGATAGAACCCAAGACTTTCTGGTTGCAAGGCCAACTTATAGAATATCCAGAGGCTGGACCATGTATTCTAACTCCTGCCAATTCGCCATGTATAGCACGACCACCATCAAGTGTCATTGGTGGGTATCCGTCGTCACGCCCAAAGTAATGGACTCCGCTAATCATGATTTCCCACTAGAAATTCAAAGGACTTTAACCTATAGTCACAAACTGGCAGAATTTAGGATCGGTTGGCCATTGGCTGGTTTAATGGTCAACGAACTCGTCATGTAGCCTTAAGCTACCGGGATCGATCCATGGTGATGGGGCCATGAGTGTGTACTGCTAAAGAGTCACAAACAGGGACGAAACAGCTGTTCACTACTCCGTAACTGAAGTCATTTCCTGATCAAACTTGAAATCATTCGAATCACCACCAAACAACACTTGAATATAACGACATACAGCGAAAGAACGCATCTTCAACCAACGAAATGAAGGTGAGTATATGATAACAAAATTCTTATTTCCGTCAATAGTACATTTCATGTCAGAGTGCATTTTGTACACTACAGTAGAATACAAATCGATATTAGATAAATTTGCCTATCAGTGTTTCCAGTATAGTCATTCAGGAGGTCATTCACAGTCCCATCAACTTAGTGTTAATGTCTCCGACTATGATGGGAACACCAGTTTCTTTGGAGTTTAAAGATATACACCTTACCGAAGAATGCCAACAAGCATGGCCCATATCTGCTGCTTCCTATCGATCGCTTCCAAACGTCTAGTTTTTCTGTCAATGATAGCCAAGAGGATGGATAAATAGGTATTGACTGCTATATTTCACCACGGGGAATTCAATCTAATCTCCGTTCAAATGATGTTTTCTTGTCAGCTCCGTCCATCACCATACAAGTCTATCAATAGGTTTAAGTTTACCGTTCAAGCACCATCATATATGAGCACCGACCCTCCACAGTAATACCTCTTTAAAAGACTACTAGCCATACTAAATCTTATCCTCATTTTATTTCTCAATTTCAGGTCTTACAATCGATACAAAATCCCATCAGATCATTGTAAAGTTAGGTGAACCAATTAATCTAGTCTGTAAAGCTACATCCTACCGTGGTGGTTTAGTGACACATGAATGGATTACGCCACAAAAAGAATATGCCAGTCAACCAAGTATTACTCGGAAGTACCTGGAGAAATCTGATCAATACGAGAAAGGAAATATGACAACTTATCGTACAGAAGCATTACTAGAAATCAAGTCCGCTAAACCTGAAGATGCTGGAGAATATGTGTGTGTTGCCAAAGGAGTTGGTTCACAGATGAACGAAACATTTTATGTCATAGTTCGTGATCCAAGTAAGTTGTTGATAATAATTTCTTTTTCATTTCAGTAAGCTCACAGTTATTTGTTAAAATACCGTAAACTAAAGTTTGAATTGGTTTCCTTTTCATTCTATGCCTCAAGAAATTAGCTCCAAGTTCAGACTGTTTTAGTACAAAATACTCAAACAAGTAAATCAAACTTCCAGGTGGAAGAAATTTCAGATATGTGTATTAATTTGTTTTAAGCGTCTATGTAAGAATTTCATTATAATAAAGGTTTTCTTGTATTTCCCAATGAATGAAAAACAAAACCATATTGTTGTTTTTAATGACGTTTCGCTATTTAATGCTAATAGCTTTATCAAAGTATTATTAAACCGGAATTTACAAATCTCAGCATATATATAACAAAGAGTTAAGGGGTGAGAAAATAGACTTAGTTCAAGTTAAAAGGAAATATCGAAAGTTAAAAATAACAATGAAGATCACTAAACCAAATAACAAAGGTAATAGTACATCTGTTATGGTATCAAAACAAAGTTTACTAACTTGATCATCGTTCGGCAGTATGGGGTCATTTTTCGTTGTCAAGTTGGCCAGTTGGTAAAGATAACAAAATCAGGTGTCGATTGTTGGATTTGATAAGTGTATAAAATTATAAAAGCAGTGAGTGTTTACATAACGAAATTGCTTATCAAATTCGTGTTGATTTTGTCACTTCATGTGGGAGGAGGGTGTTGTAACCAGGTCAAATTCTGTTTTAGTCCATCATTCCCATTCAGACCATTTGGATTCCATTTAGTATGAAGTACTTCTGATTGATTTGAGACGTTCTTTGTGATTTCTGAAATTTTTTTGGATGATGATTCCAATATTGTCAAAATGAATTTTGTGGCCTGATTCTATAGCGTGTAGATGATTTTTCAAGCTTTTCTAGTCCAACTGGATATCTCGGTGGTCGAACAGATGCTCGACGGTGTTCATTTCTTCTGATTTTGATTTCTCACGGTTATTGTCCCGTGTATATATCACATTACATTCCAAGCATTCTATTTTATGGACACAATTAGATGGAGAATCAGTAGGGATTTGGTCTTTTACATGGACGAGGTTGTTTCACAGTGTGGGTGTCTGATGTTTTGAAAAAAACTCTGATGTCGAGCTTGTTGAGTACTCCTCTGATATTGTCTGATATCTCCGCTCTATATGGAATGACAACTATTGAGGTCCATGTTTTGTTTTTCATTCATTAGGAAATACAAGAAAACCTTTACTACAATGAATATCATATACCCAATGCCCAAATTTTTTCAAACTGCTAAAAATGAACTTGGTTTGAACATATATAATGTACGAATTTCTGCTATAATTAAAATAGTATTATTCACTCCCAGAGTTTCGGGTAAAATATATGCCCATGGTGACATCTGTCTGTCTGTCTGTTTCCAACATAGAACTTTGCAACGATGTGCAGCAGTTCAAATCGCCACACACCCTCCATGTAGCAAACAAAGCAAGGGAAGAAAGTAGAAGAAATGTAACATAGAGACAGTAAACAGGGATATGAGACAAAACGGATAATAATAATAATGAAGAGCAATATAGTTTCATTGAGTATTATAAGTCACAAAGAGTGGATGCATCTGCGCCATGATTGAGAACGATTTCTAGCCATATCACCAATTGCCTCCAACCATTGGTGTTTACCGTCCCGAGGGCCCCAACCAGTCAGGAAGTCTACACCTTCCTGTGGGGCTTAGACTAACTGTTGCGGAATTCATTGACTGGTGCTATGTTTTGGTTTGACCGCCGCTAGTTCTTTCCTAGCCTGACCCTATATCAGCTAATATTGCCCGTCGAGGAAGGCGATGGCTAGATGTGCATGCCTAACACATATCCTTGTAAGAGTTAGACTTGGGTTAACTTAGACCTGAATTAGCCACTATTACAAAAACTTCTTCACCGCTTTATGACCTTAATTGTACTCTGCCTAATGCGCAAATACTAACGAACTGAATCAAGGCAAAAAGACTTGAGATAACTAGCGTGACTGGAACAGAGTTATATTTACACAAAAGCAATATGAGATTTGATAAAGAATAAGAGGGTATACACTTATCTTCAGTTGAGGCGGTGGTAAGCTCGGAGAGTGCTGGATGAAAGCACAGCGAGAGAGCGAAACCGAAACCGTACAGGAGATTCACGAATCGAAAGAGGAAGTTGGGTTAAAGGTCAGGTGAGTTCGTTCAAACAAAAGTTCGAAGGTACAATGTACACTACATCCTTACCATCTCAGTTGATGTAGCTTTACAGCCTCGTCGGTTGATTTCTCCTCGTTACCTAGCACTCAACGCTTAACCTCAATATTACTCACCCTATTATACCACTTCACACGGGAGAAAGAACGCAGGCGCCTATGATCTCGCACAGTGCAGGCCATCACTCGAGTGGAATCTCAATGGGAAGCGACAAGTGAGTCATCACTACAATGGTGACATTGAGGAGATTGTGGGAGGAGGAGGAGAAGAAGATGACAGATTATGGTCAATCGTGGACCCAGCTGGAGAGGACGGGAGAAAATACAGCAGAATGGAGATGTATTGTTGAAACCCTATGTTCCACTCGGAACCCAAGGAGATAATAATAACTGCTGAGATTTCTGACTAGCTGCTTCAATCAATACACCATTCTTGCTGACTGAAGATTGCACATAATTGAGATTTTATAACTGTGTGAATGCACTCACCGAGACCGACTTTTCAGTAAACTATTTGGTCTTCTCTTTTTAACTTCCAGCTGGGTATCTTTAGTATACTTTAGTGTGAACAGCACCTCTTATATATTATTATTATTGTTCCCTTGGGTTCCTAGTAGAACATAGGGCTTCAACTGCACGCCTCCATTTGCTTCTGTCTTCTCCTGTACTTTTCACCTGCATCCATGTTAATCCATGCTGTTTCAGTTCCTCTTCACACGATCTCCTCCATGTCACCCTTGTACTGACGTCCCACTCGCCGCCGCTTCCCTTTCGGGTTCCACTCGAGCGTCGGCCTGACGCGCGATGTCACCCAGCAGCCTCCTTAGCGAGTGTCCAATCCATCTCCACTTACTCCTGCATATTTGTTGAGAGATTGGTTCTTGTTTTGTTCGTTCCCATAGTTTCCTGTTGGTGATTCTTTCCGGCCATCTGATCTTCAGTATAGAACGAAGACAGTTGTTGATGAAGGTCTGCAACGGGCTGTTGGAAATATTCATTGTGACCCGCCAAGTTTCTGATCCGTATAGAAGAAGTGACTTGACATTGGTATTGAAAATCCGAATTTTGTTGTTGATGTTGAGGAGTGACAGTGGAAGATTTCCAGATTGGTTTCAGGTTGATGAATGTGTTTCTCGCCTTCCCAACTCTCGATTTGACATCCTCGTCCGTTCCATGTGCCTGTAGTCGAGACAATGCTCCTTGCCTAGATAAGTGAAAGAAGTAACCTCTTTCAAATCCCTCCCGTTGATGGGGATTGGCACTGGATGTTGCTGTTGTTGTTGTTGGTTGGTTATTTTCATAACCTCCATCTTGTCTATGTTCACGTGGAGTCCTGTCTTCACTGGCTGCTTCTTCGACCAGTTTGTCGGTTTTCGCTTGTAAGTCTTCGATCTTGTGTGACATCAAGGATAAATCATCCACATGCGAAATCCAAGTCTTCCAGGTTCTTCACGTCGGTCCAGGATATCCCTGTCTTCTCGTTTCCCACTGTCTGACGCATAATCCAGTCCAGTCCACCACAATTAGGAATATCATTGGTGATAATAGGCTAGCAGCCTTGTCTGACTCCTTTGTTTACTCCAAACGCCTCGCTGAGTTTTCCGTTGTGGATCACTTGACATGTGCTGTTGTCGTACAGCTGTTGAATAAGGTTGATGAATATTTGGGGTACGCCGTAGTAATTGAGTAGTTTCCAAATCACTTCGCGGTTAACGCTGTCGAAGGCCTTCTCAAAGTCTTCTCTAAGTCTATGCACCTCTTACACTATGAATTAAATCATTTTTCTCGTAAATGCTCACGTTCCGACACTATACATCGAATTAACAGTGCAGCTGGATAAAACTATTGCTAACTCATCTGAAACACTATTCTGCATATAGCTTCGATCTGATGACTTCGGTTCACTCACAATGTCGGCCAGTATTTTATCCAACTAATCAGGACCAGTGGCATCCCCACTCCTTGAGAAGTGAGGATAAATACTCACCGATGACACTGGCTAGTGTTCACGTTAAAATTACGAATTAGTAGAAATTGGAATTCATGAGCAGACCATTGCATCGGGTCCCGGCGTCTGAATGGTCTACGAGCTTTCTATGTAACCACTAGGCCCTGTATTCGAATCCTCCTGGGTGCGCAGTGATGAAGGGTCCTGAATGAGGACAAAACAGCTACCCAGCACTCCCTAATTTTCAATGGTTCTCTAACTGGTACCAGCTCATGAACAAACTTAAAACTAATGTAGCTATGTGAAAGCAGATATGGATCGGTGAATATCTGTTCGTTTGCTGAACTTTTACACTCAAAGGAAACATTTCTAATACAGTTTTAGATACAGACATCAAGAAAATCAAAAGATAAAATTTAATAGACTAACCCAAACCTAGTTTTAAAGTTAGATGATATGACAATTATGATCATGACTGTAAGAAATAAGTCGGCTCATATTTGGTTACAGAAAATCATCATAAGCTCGGATAGCTCAGTGGTAACGTCTATGACTGCAGTATTCATTGGGTGACACGGATTCGAATCTCAGAAGGGACATGAGTTCCTTCGAGGTTGCAGATACGCCTTGATGACGAGTGTCAACTAGCACGAAACCTAGGTCATGCAATGCTTCCTGCCGATTGCCTCTAACTATCTAATATTATCAAAATCAATGTGTACCGTGATGGTGAACCAACTACCATGGTGGCCACATTGTAAACTTGACTGATAGAATTCAGTCTGCAGTAAACAAAGCCATAGACACATGACACCAGTTAGTGTCCAGTCAAAAGCATTGATTATGATGAAATCCTGTAACCAATGAGTCAAATCCCGACAATGCAATTATTATTATTATTATTGTTTCCTTTAGTTTCTAGAGAAACATAGGGCTTCAGACACACGTCTCCATTGCTTTCGGTTCGCAACCAACATTTTCAAGTGGCTCCAAGTCTGCTCACATGCTTTCATCTCCTCTTCGCATAACCTCCTCCACTTCACTCTTAAACGACCAACTCGCCGCTTCCCTTTCGGGTTCCACTCGAGCAATGGATTGTCTAGTGATGTCACTTGACGGTTTCCTCAGAGTATGACCAGCCAATCCACCTCCATTTCTTCCTGCCTATTTGTTTCACAATCGGTTCCTGCTGTGTTGGTTCGCTCATTGTCAGAGATCTCTGTTGCTGATCTTTTCTGGCCATCTGATCTTGAGTGGTATTGAGCGAAGACAACTGTTAATGAAGGTCTGTAGTTTGTTTGAGGTGCTCTTTATGACGCGCAGTGCAAGTCTCTGATCCGTATAGTAGCGCTGACTTCACATTGGAGTTGAAATTCCGGATCTTATCTTCGTTTTGATGCTGAGTGCTGTTGACCTCTACACAGACTTGAGATTAGTGAAAGCTTGTCTTGCTTTTCCAATTCCTGCTTTGATATCCTCATCATTTCCGCTGGCCTGTAGTTGAAACGATGCTTTCCAGGTCGGTTGGTGAAGGAGGTTGTTACTTTCAGATTTCTCCCATTTATGCTGATTGTTGTCTCTTGTTGTTGTTGCTGTTGGTGGTGTTGTTGTTGTCTAGGAATTTTCATCACCTCTGTTTTCTCTATGTTCACCTGAAGTCTTATCTTCTCCGGATGCTTCTTCTGCCAACTTGTTGCTTTTCATTTGCATATCTTCCAGTTTGTGGGAAATGAGACATATATCATCGGCGAAGTCCAGATCCTCCAGGTTTTTGTGAGTCCATTTTATGCCTGTTTCCTCATTGCCCACTGTTTGTCGCATTATCCAGTCTACAGCAATCAGGAAAATCATTGGCGATAGTAGGCAGCCTTGTCTTACGACAATGCAATACTTGGCTTATATTTGTCAGATGGTAAATAACACTATATCACCATGTCTGCAAGTTAAGTTTTCTGTGAATAATCAAGACGTGGTGAATGAACAGCTACGAAACTCTTTAGAAATGCTATTGGGGAGAAGGAAGAATTCAGATCTTTCAGACTAAAACGCAACCATGTTGTAATCCAACCACTAGAATCAACTTTAGCGTTTTATATATTTCTAGAATTTCACCTAGTCTGTCAATTTAACAAGGAATTATATTTTTTAATCGAATCCCCAGTCTTCACACATACATCTTTGTTTTAAATATATAACAAAGAAGAGTATTGAACTGATCAATTGTTCAATGTTTTTTAAGCGTTACTAAGGAAATTTGATATACATCTGTTAGGATTTCATATCTGTTGAATTAATTAGGTATGTTTTTTTCTAAATCTGATAAAGCTGTCAATATAAAGTTACTTGGAAATGCTATTTGATTCATGGTGTCTTGCAGTAGAATCCATGACTTGCGTTTCTCCTCCTTTATGAGTTAATAGCTCTGTGTATTGCTCCCTGATGACGTCTTAATCCTCATAATATCAATGTGTTGCTTAGTGCATCTCAAATGCTAAGATATCGCCTATTATTCAGCTTTTGTAGATGAACAAAGGATCAGAAATATGAGTTACTGATTTCAAATCATATCTGTCGTACAAAATGTGGCTCCCATGGCCTAGATGGTCTGGAGAATAACGTTTTGGTGTGGTTAGAGAAACTGGTACTGTGTTTGAACCTTGGTGGGAACACCACCAATCAATTGGGACAGGAGGTACTTTCAGTTAAAATACCTCAAATCCTAGATTCTACCACTTACAAACATCAAAAATAATAACTTCGGTTTCTTATTTTATCTTATTCCTTTACGTCCCATGTGGAATATAGTGATTCAAGCTGGAAGTCTGAAGTTTCGGTAGCAGTGGTGTTCATTTTTATGGGATAGGGTTGCTAACCTCCTGCCCAACCTTATATCTTTATCAGTCTTATTAAGGGCTTAGCGAGGTTTGGGAGTGCATCAGCCGAGGGTCGGACCCGGACCACCTGCATAGTTGGCGAGCATTCTACCGCTGTACCACCGGTGCCTGGGTTCTTAATCCTGGTAATATCGAAGCACCATTATGAGAAGCCTATATATCATTGTGAAGATCACTACGGCAACTTCGAAGTGAACAGACCTAACGCAAGCGATCTAGCTGTCGTTTTTCTCTACTTATATTAAAAAGAGTACATCTAATTATACAGATAGAAAGTCATTTAGAAAAAATTGCACATTATATTCGGCTATTTAAATGAATCATCTTATGAGGGAACAGGTAGGTTCATCCGGGGAGTGGTTTATAATTCAAGTGGTCTCTAATGATTCTCTCCTCTGCGATCTGAGTTTTACTGGGTACTCTTATGACAAGCTCTGAGAACAAACGAAATATCATTTCATTCTGGCTAGCAAGCATAACTAATCAACGTGAGACGGGTGGTACTCAACTACTTGAAATTTATCAGTAGTATGAAACATTATATTAAATGATTGTTTCAATAGAAAAGCACCTTTTTTTAAATCACTTAAATCATAACTTTGTGCGTCGGTGGCATAGTGGTTAGGACGCTCGCCGACCATACACATGGTCCGGGGTTCGATCCCCGGCCGAAGCACTCCTTTACCTCGCTAAGCAAGAAATAATACTGGTGAAGAGGAATGGTTAGGCATGAGGCTAGTAACCCCATCCTGTAAAATAAACACTGCTACACAAACTTCAAGCCACTAGCTTGGAGCCCTATGTTCCACTGGGGAACGTGAAGGAAAAAAAATAAATCATAACTTTGCGCTTAGATGAGTTTGATTATCTTCTCCCAAATGTGGAGTTATATAGATTCGGTTGATTTCAGGTTGACTATGATAACAGATACTTGCCAACGACGTTGGAAAGTGATGGCGTACGATATTCTGCAAGAATTGAGGGAAGTAAGAATCTGTAAGTCATCGGCTGAAGCTTCAACAAACTAGCCTCTCAATCGTAGGTTCTAGGTTCGATCCGTGATGGGCAATAGGTGTGGATCGCTGAGGATTCACGAAGTCGGACGAAATAGCTTCCCGGTTTTCCCTGATTTTCAATGGTATTCAAATATAACCCAATAATTCTTCTATTTCTCCACTGAAAGTCCCAGATGCTTTAAGTTGTTTAACTATTCCTCACTTTATTTTATGCATCGTTAAAGGATTATTTCATCATTATTTCCTTCCATAGGTACATCACCTCCTGAAGCACCTGAAGATGATGAAGTCAATCGTAAATTCCCCATACCGACGCCGTCAATTTTAGATACGCCTGAAATGGCAGTTTATGAAATAAAACGAGACCCAGAAAATCCTCAGATTACACTGATTTCTGGTCAAGTGAAGGTATGTTTAATACTACAAGCTGTCGGTGTACAGTTTTTTTTGTCTATGAATGTAAAGTCGATTCATATAAACGGTTCATTTTTAAATGAGGTCGATTTAGTCTTTATAACAGGTAAAATGTTTTATTACTTTAGCATTCGGTGATGTATAATTAAATCAGGAAATTGCATGAGGCATTTTCTCTGTATATATGAAGCGAATCAAGAAACCGACTAACTCACCGAGTCTGATGGACTCCAGTAAGAGTAGATTGTTCGAAAAGGTTATCTAAAATCAAAGAGAGTTAGGCTTCATAGACTTCCACTTGAGGACAGGACAATATAAGGTGTTCATTACCTTCTCACTCGTACAATATTAAACACAGTTGAAGGGAATTTTGTTCAAAAAGTTCTAGTCTAGAAATTGGAACATTTTACTGGTTCTACCTAAATACATATCTGTCCCCGAAATTCCAGATGGCCTTGTTGGGTTCTAGGTTAACTTGCATTTCCTGTCGATTGATTTTATTCGACTGAGAATACTGAGTCCCCGTTGTCATGTTGGCCTCTAGAATGGGTGGTTTACCCTTTTCCAAGGAGTAATAGGATCTTATTTTTGGTTAGTGGTGACTAGTAGCGGAATCCAGGATATGAATTTCATTCTATTTGGAACTCGTCAGTTGGATGTTCTTTTATCTCCAGTCAGTGATTTTATTCCTACTGAGAGTCACTATCTGTACCAGGCATTTCAAACATCATCTAGGCATCTGTAATGGGGGATAACTTGTAAACAGAGACTGAACGCTTTAATACAACAGAATCAATAGATAAGGAATGCAAATTAAGCGAAAGTGTATACTAAGTGATACCCGTTGAAGGAAAGGTGGCTCTTGTAGCCCCGTTTCTTAGTGCAGCATGGTTGAATATTTGAAACAGTAGGTGGTGGGTTTGAGTCTCAGTTGGAACGCCATCACTCACTGGGAATGCAAATAAATCCAGTTGAGGAACTCCAAATATGAAGAAACCAGCATCACTGAGAGGGTAATGTTGACAGAATTCGGCGTTTTCCTGCTCTCTCTATGTCACACCTCTACTTAATTATTAAGCATTTGATAATTGTAAATTAAACTGGTTCTAATGCGAATGTAAAGAAACTAAATGATGAAATAGTCTCATCAAAATTTGTCTTATAAACGAGACTAAGTGAGATAGATTCACTTTAGCAGATTAGCAGGGTGATGAACTGCCTCAAGACTGAGATCAATATAAGCCACAGAAATGCACTTTTTAGACCCATGAAGTATTGTTTTCTGGGTTATCCGTTTTAATTCCTATCATCATCCTGTTTTTATTATTGATTATAATTATGACTGAATACCCATTCATCAGACCACTAAAGGAAAATAATAATATTTTAGTATATGTGTAAAACTTAGGCACTGTGGTAGTAAGTAATTCCATATCAGTTTGTTTATTAGGTATATCACACAGTGAGTGAAACAGTATTATTTACTGGATGACAGTGTTTTGAACAAAATTTATTGTTCATAATCATATCAATTGTGATCACACGACTTTGACACTTGAGTTTTATAGCTTTCTTTGTTTTACTCCTACTTGTCATAGGGGTAGTAGAATTTTCCAGATATTTAGAACAGGTGATGAATCATTCCTATTACATGTATTTGTAGTTGATTCGATAAACAAAGCTTCCGTTGACATCAATCTCTCCCTCCACTCTGTTCTTGCATTAGATTGTAAAACTGTCATCCTATCCCATCCATCTTATTGTATGGTTGTGTGTAACTGCATGTAGTGCTATGGCTGAACTATTCTCTAGATTTCTTATCTTATTCGGGTCAATTAATCTAGATTTTGCTAAGTTTTTATGTTCAGCTAGACTGACTGCCCCTGTTTTATTGTGGAGACAAGTACCTGAGTTGAATTGGTACCCTGATATACATCAAAACATCACTGTCATAGACTGCAACAGATGTTAGTTCACCCTTGATAACCAAAGTTACCATCACTATTACTACATATGAATCAAGTGTATAATTTGCCAACTAATTCGAGATTTGTAGTCCACAAGATGCCAGCTGAAAATTCTGTACAGTTTCCACTGGAAACTGAAATTACTCAGAATACAAAATGTGTGATTGCCCTGTTATCGTAAATGGTAATCAAGAAAGCACTCACAAATGTATGAGTAGTAGTTTGGATGCCAGTGATGTCAACCAGTAGGGCTGTAACTAAAGAAGACAAGGCCAGCCAGGCGACATATTGTTTATTGAGAAAATTAACGGATATTTATAGATTTTTATGTATATTATTATTAGCGTTATTGTTGACAGAGAAGCAACGTCTTCTGATTGGTTGTTTTCGTGATGAAGGTTATTCTGTCATCTGTTTGTGGCAGTCCCTTAGAAATTCGGGCCATATATCTGCGAATCGTATTTGTGATTGTTTGGTGAGTTCCCCCAGGTTAAGCTTTGTTGCTGTTTTTCTCATGACCCCGATTCGGGACGCGAACGTCAACATCAGTTGTTGTCTACAATTCTGGCTAGCAGACAGCTCTTACCGTAGGGCTTGTAAGCCAAGTTGAATCGGTCTAAACAGAAGACAGCCATTTAGCTTGTTGGAAACAGGGCGCTATATCCGGTTTGACTCAACGCAGTCCAAACCACCCGAATTTCGCCTAGTTACTTAGGCGAATTTGATTCAGTTTACCCAGGTAACTAGACAGAATTCAGGAGGTTTCAGTTGACTCGTCTCTCTAAGTTGATTCAAACCGGGTGAACTATTGATTACACGGCCCCCAAAACGGCTTTCAGATATTTAAATCTAATACATTTGGTTCCCTTGATTAATTTCGATAGAGAAATAAAGACCGGATTTGTAGTAAACAATGACGTCATCATCCTATTTCACAGGTTCTCATCAGCTAACTGAGAACCACTATCTGAGATTACATTGGTCATGTATAATGATATTTCATAATTCAATGCTTGAAATTTGATAGAGAAAGCATTATAAGATTAACGCATCTGAAATATAAGCATTACAACGTTCAGTTTAAGTCACCATCAATTTAGATGCTTTCATACCATGAAAAAATGTGGCGATGAGAGAAGACAGAAAAATCCAATAAGCGGTGTTAGCTCGTACACTTACATAGCAACTTAAGAAGGCTAAAGTCCATCAAATTGGAAACTCACTCAGTGAACTGAGTGCACTAATATGTATGACTAATCAGTATAATTGAAGTAATACGGTTATCAAGGGAGGGAGAGATTGACTGAAATGCTTGACTGCAATTGGTTCAGCGAATCGCTGTCCCTTGTATGTTTAATATTTTAAAGCATTTAGAAATCTCGACGAAATGACTCGTATTCACAGGGTGGGTGTCTGGTAATTGCACTGTGTAAAAATCTGGTTTTTTAAGCATAAGTTTCTTGGAATATGCTATGAAAATCTGATAGAAGCCCTTCTTTCTGTCCTTCCAATGTACTTGATGCACGTAAATTTAAAAATGCAGTTGGGCGTAACATCAGCAGGGTACTTATCCAGTTTCGATTAGCTTATAAAGCATGTACTGCTGCATAGTGTCACCAGCTTAGCTGCAGAGAAGCATCTCGTTATTGCTCCTTTCATTCTCTTGTCAATCTTTTGTGATACTGCGTCTCCTTTGAATGGGAGACGGATAAACACTTTCTTCTTTTCAGCCGTTGGATACTTCGCTTTCTCATCTTTTTCTTTGCTGTACTTTAGGATAAATCCCTTTGGATGCCCGTTTTCTTTAAGGCATTTTTCAACAAATCTTAATTCTTCTTCTACCTTGTTAGGCGAACATAATATCCTGGATATTGAACTCGTTGTTGTGTTTATATTCCATGGTGAATTTAATGTTTAGGTGGACCTCATTAAGGCGGTCAAATAATACGGTTGCCTGGCTCATTTCGTTGCAAACAACAAACGTATCACTGACATGTCGGCGATCGTAGGCTGTTTCTTTGATGGCATCACTCAGTCGCGTCTGAAGATGTCGGCTAGAATAGGTCCTAGAGGTGAACCCATGACGACCCCATCAATTTGTTGGTAGAATTGGTTGCTGAATTTGAATTTGATGTCTTTTATGCAAAGAATTATTAGGTGCCTCATCTCTATTTCTGGTAATGGCAATAGATCTATTTGTTTACCAATGATATTTAAATCATTTTGAGATTTTTCCAGCAAGCACTAATATCTGATGTGAGTAGTATCGAGCTACTTATATCGTTCAATCAGTAGTATGTAACATTATATGAATTTAAAAAATATGGTTCAGATTGTGCATTTTCTCCTACCAACTAATCCAGCCTACTCATTGTCATAATTATCCTTTTTAGCCTGATATCCTGGAGGCATATCATACTGTCTGGCAGTCAGTTAATGGTACACCGTTCGACACAAAAACAGAGATTACTGATACTGCTCGTGGAGCTTTTACAGTTCGTCTTCCTATACCATATGAATCAGTTAACTGTGGAAATGAAACAATTATTGGTTATTTTGTCGGTAAAGATCCTATCTATACACCATATTGGACAAGAATGACAGAGCCGACTATAGTCGATACAGAAGCTGGAGAAAGTGAGTTATGATTTTTGTTTTTAAACAATCAGTGAATAGTGCTCTTTCATAGTTCTCAGAAAGGAGAGATTAAAGGGGGTGAAAGTTATTTGAGTGTTTGTGATTGAGCTTTAGGTTCATCATTGATTTTCCCGGTGAACACAAAGAAACCTTTGCTGAGGAAGATGTGTTGAAAACAAACGTTGAAACAAAGTAATCATAGGTCTTAGAGGATGATGCTAAACTCAAAACTAATCCTCATGCTAAGTAATCTACTGTCTAGGAGACTATTGTATATTCCCAATTAAACCTCAGCAAGGTGATTCGTTTGGCTCCCATGAAAACATACAAATAATTGAGACTTGACACATCACTTATAGTCAGAATCGGAAAGGTAAGATACTTTTCTGTAGTAGGTTTGTTAGGGTTAGTTTTGTCTTTACGAGTTGATCACATCATAGTCACCACCTTAAAAAAATTTTGTATTATTCAGGATTACTCACACTTCCACTACAAACACTGCATTAGACCTGACAATAAAAAACAAAACAACAACCCTGAAATGTTATTTTATGATTGTTTAGAGTTGTTTCAACCAAATTAACTGACCATCTTGGCGATAGACATTCTTAAATATCACTTCATAACTTCTTGTATGACTATAGCTTTACTGTCACCATGCATATTCATATCATAGCTTCCACTACCCAATACTGAGATATTATTTTGTTGTTTATTTTCCTTTCTACTTCTTGGTGTTTTTTCGCATTTATAAGTATTTTTGTGTTCATCCTTTTTTTTGTTAAATACTCCTTTTAAATGTTTGTAAAATGAGATGCAAATATTGTAGATATTGTACTGAAAATTCCACACTGTACCACTAGTACTGTTTCTGGAATAAAGCAAATTATTATTATTAAGTTAGAGAACCATCGTGTGAGTCGCTGGTACAGCGGTTAGGACGCTCGCCGACCACGCACATGGTCCGGGGCTCAATCCCCGGCCAAAGCAGTCCTGCAGCCTCTCTAAGCTAGTTAAAAAGGCTGGTAAAGAGGAAAGTTTGGGCATGAGGCTAGCAACCCCATCCTGTAAAAATAAAAACACTACTACAGAAACTTCAAGCCTCTAGCTTGAAGCCCTATGTTACATTGGGAACGTGAAGGAATAAAAAACGAGAACAATTGAAAACCAGCATCCAGTACTTGACAGCTGTTTCATCCTAGTTTGAGAATCATCGGCAGTACGCACCTACCACCAGGGTTAGAACCAAGGACCTTCGGGTTACAAGGAAAGCTACCTGGTATATTATTCAGCCACTGGGACCCGATCCAATGGCCAGCCAATGAATTCTAACTTCTACCAATTCATGATCTAGCGCGACCCCAACCAATGTCGTCGGTGGGGGGCGCGCTTAATCGTGAATTGGTAGAAGTTAGAATTCATTGGCTGTCTACTGGATCGGGTCCCAGTGGCTGAATGGTAAACTAGGTAGCGTTTCTTGCAACCGGAAGGTCCTGGGTTCGACCCACACTGTGGTGGATGCGTACTGCCGATGATTCCCCAAACTAGGATGAAACAGCTGTCTAGCACTCGATGCTGGTTTTCAATGGTTCTCTAACTGATATCGATCCATGATCAACTCGTAAAAAAGATGAGATACACCTTCATCAATCTGAAATCAGTTCTGAAATCTTCTGCAGTAACTCAGGATAAAGAACAAGATTCGGATTTTCAACACCCGTGTCAAGTCAGTTCCTATATATGGGTCAGGACCTTACAGTGCGCGTCACAAAAAGCATTTCCAACAGATCGCAGAATTTTATCAACAGCTGTCTTTTCTGGCATCATTTTGAAGGTAATGTGACAACAAAGAACTAAGCAAGAACCTATCGTTCAACAAATATATAGAAAATAAAGGTGGATAGGACACATACTGAAGAGGCCGTTGAATGACATCGTACCAAGCCACTGCTTCAGTAGAGTCCGAATGGGAAACGACGATTGGGACGTCTGAGGATGACATGGATGAGATCGCATGGGGAGGAGATGACGGACTATGGGCAATCATGAGGCTAGCCAAAGAGAACTGCAGAGAAAAAGACAAAGTGGAAATGTGCAGCTGAAGTCCTATATTCCACTCGTAACCCAAGGAATCAATAATAGCAATACATCGCCTAAATAATTTGTCATAGCTTGGGAGCATTCACCAATAGTTGCCTTCGCTCACTAGTGAAGATCATATGACCAGCCAGGAAGGTTAATCAACAAGGAACTCCGAAAGTAAGTGAACCGGTTCACTGCCTATCACCCAAAAATTATGCAGGTAAAATGGAAATGGATTAAAAGTACTCTGGGAAGATATTGTAGTGGCCCAAAATTCCACAGCCTTGAGTGGAACTAGAATAGGAATTGATATGTGTGGGAGGAGTGGGAATGAAAGTTTTTAGATAGTCATAGAGTCATTTGGAAAAGATGACAGAGAACCAAGTGTAATGGCGACATCCAGTTCTTTATTTCACTCAGTACATAAGGAATGAAAAACCGTATTTCAGGTAGATTAGAAATATCGTCTTGCGGTTAAGTATCAGCGAGACTTTAACTCCTGAGCCTGTGGGTTACGGCTTTGAACCGAAGGTTATCTCTTCCGAGTTTAAAGATGACTGTGACTGTGTCGATAGTTTTCAGCTAAACCCAATGTCGAGTATTCAAAGATTATAAGCGAAGTATTCGGTCAAGTCTTTATTATTAACTATGAATGTCTTTAAAGAACGACCACATACAGTAATGATATAAGGAAGTTACTTGTCACCTAGCAACCTGATTTTATCGCAGAAATAATAATAATAGCTTTCATACATTTGGTTCCCTTGATAAATTTCGATAGAGAAATAAAGACCAGATTTGCAGTATAAAATGATATCGTCATTCTATTTCACAGGTTCTCATTACAATGGTTATAATTAATAACATTTCATACTTCATTGTTTGAAAGGTAATACAGAAAGCATTATAAGATGAACGCATCCGGGATATAAGGATTAAATATTTTTTGTAGTTTAAGTTACCATCAATTCATATACTATCAAACTATGGAAAAAAGAAAGAAAAAGGGGGGGTGAGAGAAAACAGAAAAATCTAATAAACAATGTCAACATGGCAACTCAACAAGGTCAAAGTTCATCAATACTGCAAATCTGGTCTTGCTTTCTCTATTGAAATAATAGCTTTATTCCAAACAGTATTTGTGGTACAGGTATAGAATTTTCAGCGTGCATTACAATATTGCATCTAATTACCTCATAAATTTTATAAGATTTTAAAAATAAAAAGCAACAACAACAAAAAGAAAAAAAGATAAATAAAAAAAGAAGAGCATTGCATTCACATTTTAAACTATGCATCACAGGACTATGAAATATAAAATTAGTGTATAATAGAAGATGTGAACAACAATATAATATTAACGAAGAAAGGAAAACAAAAACTAATGGGAAACTATTTGTTAGAGTGCCGCAGTAAGTTGATCGTGTCATACCTAACGGATTTCTCATCACATAACAGCTGTGCCAGATAAGGTATTGTGGAGATTTTGTACTTGGTAGTCCTGGCATATAGCCTCCTATATTTGCTTCTAGTTCTACCAGATGAAATGCAAGGAGAGAGCTGCGTGTGGAGAGGGTGTTCGGGGTCTGACAATATAGAATTCGCTAGTCTCTTACATGACATTATATGTCTATCCACAATTGTGTTAACCAGTTGGTTTAACGAAATCCCACTTCCCCTACTAACAGCTTTTAGTGCCCTACGCAGCAAAGCAAAATCTTTCTTAAGTAGTCCAGGAAAGATTAATGGGGAGCAGTAAAGAGGGATGGTTAGAATACAAGAATTGACAAACTGAGAAAGCAAAAACTGCTTTATACCATACTGCCTTAACTTCCTAAAGTAGAGCGTTAAGCGAAACATCTTTCTAGTAACTAGCAAGATGTAAGAGGACCAGGAAAGATCGGAGGAAATAATAAGTCCAAGGTACTTGACATTAGATGCAATTTCAACTTCTATGCCGTCAATGATAGTGGGACCATGTGAGCTAGCTAGTTGTTGTAGGTCACGTTTTCGTCTGAAAGTGAAATTTACTACCTGACATTTAGACGGATTCAGCTTAAGACCGTTTGAAGAGGACCACTGACTAATTTCCGAGAGAAAGTTATTTAATTTGGAACAATCTGACTGAGAAATGAACACTTAGATACCACATTTTTATATTCTTCCCTAGGTTGTTAGTTTTATTCTTTGTAATTACTTGCAAATGATGACTCATGTATCCTCTCGATTTACTTTGAAATTTTAGTCTCCCCAAATGACATTCTCAATCCTCCTGCTGAAGTAACTATTCCCTTCATGCAACCGTATACTATCCGAGTGGGAACAAAACCAGGCAAAGAAGATATCAGCGTGATTTGGAAAAAAGTTGGACCACTTCCTGAAACAGTAGTTACAGAAAAGAAACCTGATGAAGAAGTAGAACCAAAAGAGATTGATATCAGCCTGCCTGAAGGTATTACACCAGGTAAAACAAATCTTAATATTTGGGCTGCTGTTGAACAACATGAAGGTGTTTATGAAGGCACTGTTGTCCGTGATCGTGATGGTGTAGAAGTGAAACGTGTTCAGACAATTGTACGCGTGAAACCAATGAGTCAAGGTGGTAAAACAGAATTAGGTCTTGCTGAAGCAGCTGAAACTATTGAAGATGATACTGATGGTGATGATGAAGAGGCGAAAGATCTGCAAACATGGGATTTTACAGTTAGCGGTTTTACACCTGAAGCACGACACTGTGAACATCCTACTTGGACAGTGGTTGATTATCAAATGAATAAGACTATTGATGTAACAGATAAAGGTGAGTAATTTTCACTTTTCTGTTCACTGTTCAGCGATTCACTGACATATTTTTTTAGGCCTTTGGGTAAAGACGTCGATTTAGCCTAGCGACTTGGATTTCAAGGATGAATCTAAAAACGAAGCTGTGAAAGTGGTCACTTCATTGAGTCACATTCTCGTAACAGTTATGCACAGGCTGTGGTGACTACAGTAAGACGATTATCCATTTATCACCTGAGCTCCTGGTTCGAATCTTGCCAATAACCTAATTTTACTCCTCCTAGAAATAGTAAACACTTTCGTAAATGTTTAAATAATCCTCAGTGGTTAATTATTTCTCCTTTCTTCTTCTTCTATTCAGTTGATCGTACTTCAGCTACACACTTCAAGGTGAATTATCCCCTAACAAGCGGATTATATCTCCGATTTCAATGTCAACCAATACCGAAAAGTAATCTGACTGGAGAGATCAGATTTAATGTCTGTAAGTTGTAAAATGAATTAACTTTTATGCAAAATCATTATTATCATAAATTGATGGTGACTAACAGTGGGAAGCATCGTTTCAACTACAGGCGGACAAAACTGACCAGGATATCAAAGCAAGGATCGGAAAAGCAAGACAAGCTTTCACTACTCTCAAGTCTGTGTGGAGGTCGACAGCTCCACTCAGCATCAAAAATAAGATTCGGATTTTAAACTCCAATGTGAAGCTAGTTAGTGCTACTCACTATACGGATCAGAGACTCGGCGTGTCATAAAGAGCACCTCAAACAAGCTACAGACCTTCATTAACAGTTGTCTTCGCTCAATACCACTCAAGATCAGATGGCCAGCCAGAAAGGATCAGCAACAGAGAGGGATCTCTGGCAATGAGCGAACCAACTCAGCAGGAACCGATTGTGAAAGAAATAGGCAGGAAGAAATGGAGATGGATTGGCTGGTTATAGTCTGAGGAAACCATCAAGTGACATCACTAGACAAGCCATCGCTCGAGTGGAACCCGAAAGGGAAGCGGTGATTTGGTCGTCAGTGCGAGGGTGGGTGACATGGAGGAGGTGATGTGAAGAGGAGATGAAAACGTGTAGGCAGACTTGGAGCCAGGTGAAGACTGTAGCAGAGAACCGAACGCAGTCGAGACGCACGGCTGAAGCCCTATATTCCTCTAGGAAATAAAGGAAACAATAATAATAATAACAGTGAAATATAGGAGGAGCGTTTCGTACCTTTTCTCATGAACTTGTCAGCTGGATGTACCCATTTTCTAATGAATGATTGTTGTCGCATTATGACTTTGTTTGTATCATAAAAGACATACTTGTCGATGGGCGAACTGTATGCAGTGCATATTGCGTAACCACTATGATCAAGAGACACCCAGAGAAAAGTTACTCATGTCATTCTAAAAATTAACAGTCGTATAAATTAAGAGTACATTATTCAGCGAAGAGACTCTTTCCTACAACGAATTTATTATCAAGCTGTACAATCGTATATACATGTGACTTTTAAGAAATTATATCCGGTGTGGGAATCACATCAAAAGTGTGAATACATGAAATAATAATAATAGTATGAAATGCAATTAAAACTAAAATGTTTGTGATTATAATCATAGTTAAATGTCAAGTAGCAAAACAATTAATGTCATATATAGAATAATACATAAGGTGTATAGATATTGTTGGGAGAGGGTGCATAATTATAGGATTAGTAGGCGAAATTTGATATGACAGAATTTAATATTGTAGAAACAAAATAATAATTTTAGATTTAGAATGATAAGTGGGACAAGCGGAAACAATTCAGCGTGAGAATAGTAATAATAGTAATAATAATCGTAGTAATAAAGGAAAGGTACATAGAATAACTAAATAAACAAAATAAATAAATGTCTATCCCTCTACAGCCAAGGCAGGAGTAGGGATTGTACATACTTCTTTTGTACACAAAGATCTGTCTGGCTTAAAGTCATGAACTGGCAAGGCCTCACTGTCTTTAGAAGTCTGTAACGAAGAAAACGCAACCGGCAAGTTTGTATGGATTCTGTAGATGATCTAAAAATCATGGTCAGAGCTGGCAGAGTGACAGGAGTCGACCAGGTGTTCTAGAATAGAGCTTCGCACACACTTCCTTTCTCCCTTGTAAAACCATGCTGGAATATGTTCTCGTATCCGTGTGGAAATTGGCGTTCTCTGGGTAAGGCCAATATACCTTGCTCCACAAGAGTGGAAGGTGAACTGATAGATGCACATTGAGGCGGTCCGACGAGGCAGTGTATCCTTTACAGTCGTATAAATGACGCTATTTTAGCAACAAAAGGAGTATTTTTTTAAAGACCTATCACTGAACTATTGACTTCTAGACAGCAATCAAGAGATTGTGATGCAAATACGTACATAGTACAGAAACATTACTCAAACAGAAACTACAATTACATTAAGTAGGTAAATTGAGTAACATAAAGTAATTTCCAACAGTTACTTTGTAAGGATTTGATTTGCTTCCAATTTGATCACGAATTGGTAGAAATTGAAATTCATGGACTATTGGATCGGATCTCAGTGGATGAGTGTTCTATGAGGTTGCCTTGTGACTGGTTGGTCGTTGGTTCGGACCTCGGGGGTGTATACTTATGAAGAGTCCCTAACTAGGGTGAAACAGCTGTTCAGTATTCTCTGATCGGTTTTCAAGGGTCTGGTATTCAACATCAGTCCATTGCGCAAAGCAGTTGATATGACTTAGCACCTACCAATTAGAATCGCTATAAAGTCAGGTCAAGATCAGTGTAATGAAGAATATATGTTTGGCAGTATGGAAACAGACAAAAATTGTGGGTTAAATGTTTAAACAAATTAGTTTATTTGCTGGATGAACGTCTTCTGTGTACAGAGATTTGGCTTTAGCATATTAGGGATCATGATTTCTGCAGTTTGCATACACTTCGTTAGTATTCTTTTGACAAGGTTCAAACGTGTTCTGCGCGTTTGCTTGGTGTTCGGAGTCAGTCACAAGGAGTACAAAATTAGTCACGTTGTTTGACGGCCTCAACAATAATTGATAGAAATGCAAACAGTAAATCATGTAAAATGAAGAATCTCTAGAATTTCGAGTCGTGTTCTTTCTCTGAGAACAACGAATGTTTATGAATAAGAAAAAAAAGGAAATGTTACTCAAATAAATTTCAATGCCAGGCTACATAGTAAGTTTTCAGGGATGAAGGAATTTTGTCTCTGTCTTAGAAACATACTATTTATTTAACTCCTGTCGGATAGCATAATATAGTCATATTTGATATTAGATGGTTGGAGGCAATCGGCAGGAAACCCTGCCAGTGGTCACTCACCAGTCGGCAAGGTGTATCTGCAACCTTGAAGGAACTCATATCCCCCCGTGAGATTCGAACTCGCGTCACCTAGTGAGTGCTGCAGTTAGAGACGCTACCACTGAAAAGCTATTCGAGCTCGCGTCTGACTTCCTGTAGGACTGTATTAGATGCTTTGATGGCCTTCAACTATCTAATATCAGCAATTCAAAGTGCGCAGTGATGGCAAGCCAACTTAAATGGCGGCCACTGATAGAATTCATTCTGCACCGAACAATGGACTAGACACATTACACTAGTTACAAACTAGTGTCCAATCCAAATAGTCATCTTTCTTAAAGACAGAAGAGACTGTGTGCTGTAAATGTAACTGTTGTGTACAGTCGTTTCGCTACTTCAAAGAATATATCTAAGTATAACAGCCAAAATTTTAAAACTTCATCTGAATCGTGTAATGTATTTGCTCAATACATCTCGAACAATCTGATGACACACTTACTTGCCTTGGGAATGTATATGTATGTGAAAATAATATAGTTAAAGGGTGAGAAAATTTCATTGTGATTACCTCTCATCATATCAGCTGTACAAATAGTTTCCCGGAAATATTCAATTTTTATTTTTCCTTTTGTTCTCATTTTAGCCTCTCCTGATCCACGCATTATACTAAAACCGTTTTATGATAATCCTGATTCTACATTCCCAACAAGATTAGTCTGTATGGATTTGAATCCAGAATATGATTCATCATTACGCATAACATCATCATCAATGAGTCAAGAAAAAATTTCCGTAAGTCTATACTACACTGAGTTCTTTTTGACTTCATTCATGGGATCATTCTAAAACTTGTTGTAGTATCCTTCGCTTTGACTTATTTCCAGTGACTGTAGACGATTATGAAGAATTCAAGGATTGGTTTGTAGTGATTTGATTGATTGGTTACAGGATTTCATCATGAGCTGACATCGGTTAGAAAACCATTGGAAAACCAGCTGGGAGTATTGTATAGCCCTTTCATTCTAGTTTGGGACTCTTCTGTGGTAGTCATCCACCGGGGTTCGAACCCAGGACCTTCTGGTTACAAGTGGTTGCGCTATGTCGTGAATTGGCAGAAGTTGGAATTCATGGGTTGGCCATTGGATAGAGTCCTAGTGGCTGGATGGTCTATGAGATGGCTTGCCTTGTAACCAGAAGGTCCTGGGCTCGACCCCTGTTGGTGGGTGCGTACTGCTGAAGAGTCCCAAAATAAGACGATAAAGCTATCCAGTACTCCCAGTTGGTTTTCCAATGGTTCACAAACCAACGTCAGTTCATGATGAAATCCTGTGACCAGTCAAATATTATTTATTGTATTAAGACCTCAGTCTCCTACTCCCCATGCATAAAATAAATAAATGAGCTTTCATCACCAATGAAATTTTTACGCAAAGTTAAACTTGAAGCACTACTAACTACCAGTCAGCGAATGACCTCGAATGCGCCAGTCACGTAAAGGAGGCATTTTTGTGTATGGAACATATATATTTATGAAAAAATGCATAAAATCTGTAGGAAAGTGTTGTAGAGGATACCTTGCTCTCACGTTTGATAAAAATAGCTCTCAGTTTTAGGTTGGAGTATCAACAGAGTATAATTCCATTGTGGGTAAAATTTATTTTGATAAAGTCTCATAGTGTAATACAGTAATATTTACTGGGCAATAAATTGTACTTGAAACGTCATCAGTAAATATTACTGTATAACACTGTGAGACTTTATCAAAATAAATTTTACTCACAGTGGAATTATACTCTACCACAGTGCACAAGTTCTATTCTTATATCAACAGAGAAATTTAACCACATTCTATGCATGTAATTATTTAGGTCTTCTAACCCTATCAATAACCCTAATCTTTCCTGAACCTAACCCTTACGTGAAAATATCCCTAAACTAACTGTAATCTAACTCGAACCAACTCTAATATTGCCTTTATTAGGTTAACCTAACCCTAACTTGTCCTTGGCACAAAGCATAACTTAATCTTTCCCAAACCTAAGCTGAAACTTGCCAGATATCCCATTTATTAGCATAACACTTGGATGAGCGTATTTTATTGATGATGACAACATTATTTACCAGGTTTCACTGACTCGCTCAGTAAGCGTTTCAAGGTCATTGGTGTGGACGCCCTCCATTGGTAGTTGGTGGTGCTTAAAGTTAAACTTGGCCATCCAAATATTTAACTAATATGAAAAGATCGATTTATCGTAAGCTGTCATGGAATGGTCAACTGACAAATTTCTACAGCTGGGTACCTATTGGTCGAAAACGAAACCTGGTCCGGTCGCTTGCCACTCACATTCGGCGAATATGTAGCCCTGATACTGTAGATGATGAGTTATACATCTTGAGGAAAATCCTATTAGAAAATGGATTTCCACCACGTTTTATAGATAAGAATATACATTCAAATCATAAAAAACGTGACTTATCAACCGTACCCAAGAAAATACTTTACATGAGCTTGGAATTCAAAGGGGACTTAGCTTCCGATATCATAAAACGAAGGATATCACAGTCCCTGGAAAGAACATTCCCTGCTGCATCTCTGAGAATAGCCTTTACTAGTCGACCATTATTGTTCAATAACCTGAAGGACAAGATCCTGCTGTTGACCAACTCCATGTGTGTTTGTCAATTCACCTGCTCGTGTGGAGCTAGGTATATCGGTCGTTCGACATGAGTTTTGGCCAAGAGGATGCAAGAACACTATCCTGCATGGTTACGAAAAGGTGGAAGTGGAGCAATAAGAAGCGCGATCAACCTATCGCTATAGCCTCCGCCTTCAAAGTCATCTACAAGGCAAAAAGTAATTTACCCAAATCCCTACGTACCCGACTCATCTGTATTGCTGAAGCTTTGGCTATCGAAACAGAAAAGCCAAATCTCTGTGTACAGAAAAAGTTCGTTCAACCCCTCCAACTTTCATGGTCTTAATCCCTCTATGCTAAAGTATGGTAATCCCCATTCATATTTTAGCTCTACCAATTTTTCATTTTTTTTCATTTTTGTCTATTCAATTTGTATACTCTTCCTTATTAAGTCAATTGTTACTATTACTACTCTCACTTTTAATTGTCCCCGGTATTATTTCACTTGTTCCACTTGTCATTCTAAATCAATTCCTTTTTACAACATTAAATTCTATGCTATTAAATTTCACATAATATTACGTAACGTTTTTAGTTTATTCGATTTGTCTACTAATCTTATAATTGCACACCTTTTTCAAGTTCTATCCATCCTATGAATTATTCTATATATGACATTAATTTGCTTTGCCACTTGACATTTAACTACGATTATAATCACAAACATTTCAGTTTTAATTGCATTTCATACTAATATTATTATTATTTCATGCATTCACACCTATGATTCAATTCCCTCACCGGATATAACTTCTTAAAAACCATATATATACGATTGTACAGCTTGATGATAAATTCGTTGAAAAGAGTCTCTTCGCTGAATCATTTGTTTTGATTTTCTATATGTTACAATGGGAATTGTCCATGATTTAAATAATTGTAATTTAACTCGAACCAACTCTAATGTTGCCTTTATTAGGTTAACCTAACCGTTACTTGTCCTTGGCACAAAGAATAACTTAATCTTTCCCAAACCTAAGCTGAAACTTGCCATATATCCCATTTATTAGCATAACACTTGGATGAGCGTATTTTATTGATGATGACAACATTATTTACCAGGTTCCACTGACTTGTTCAATAAGCGTTTTAAGGTCATTTGGCGTGAACGCCCTCCATTTGTAGTTGGTGGTGCTTAAAGTTAAACTTGGCCACCCACATATTAAACTAATATGAAGCGAATATTGTACAATGTTCAATGTTTAAAATAAACTTCCACAACAACCAAAGAATTTACGCTGAATTTATTTTCAACTTTATTTCAGTATGCAACTGTTCCAGCTGACAAAGTGATAATGATAAGAAAAGGTGATATACCGGCTAGTCGTCGATTGGAAATCGATTGGAGACGTATCGGTGAATTTGATCCATACAATGATGCTGGTTATTATACGTGTTTTGTAAATAACACGGAAACAAACGGATCAAGAACAATTAAAATCCCTGCTGATAAAGTACCTGTTCAGTGTAAGAGAGATTTTGTCTTTTTAAATGTGGTTTATATATTTATTTCCATTGTGGGTAAAATTTGTTTTGATAAAGTCTCACAGTGTTTTTTATACAGTAATATTTACTGATGACAACGTTTCGAGCACAATTTATTACTGCTCATAATCATATCAAGGCGCCAATCACACAATTTTCTAACCTGGTTTATGTAATTCCGTGATTTTCATCTCTTGACTTGATTGGTAGTAGTATTTTCCATATTTGTGGTATGAGTGATGAGTCATTCCTATTGCAGGTGTTGGGTGTAGACTCGATGAACCAGGCACGATTTAGTAATCAACCTCTCTCTCAGCCTATATTACTTCTTAGAATTTTAACCCTCTCCCACCACCCTATTGTGTGGTTGTGTGTTAATGCATGCAGTGCAATTGCTGAGTGTTTTTTTCTAAATTACTTATCTTCATGGGATCAATCATTCTAACCTTAGCTAAATTCTGACAATGTTCTGACGGGCAATCTCACTACTCCTGACTGATATGCTAGTTTGACTGACCTATGTAGTTGCCTTAACTCAAAGTCATTGCAAGGTATTTTGTAAATTATATTATTTTGTCTAATTGGGTCAACCGACAGGGTCCTTTAGTCTACAGAGCTTGTCCCTGCCTGAGTGAGTTTATAGGTTTGAATGCTACCCTAATTGCTGCTCTACTGAGAATCCTACGTAGGGTCTCAGAAGTCCCGTCCTTATATGGTCATACTACTGTAGATGCCTTATATTCTCTCATTTATGTTATCATTACTAGTTTCACAATTATTTTTATTTTGCTTTCGGCCTTTTCTGATCTTCGTAATGAATTTTATAGGATAGTTAGTTATTTAACATCAACGCTTCTTCTATCTGTTTCATCTCATCATTGCTTTTTATAAGCGCCAGTGTGCAGTCTGCCTTCTTCTATCAGTAAATATTACTGTGTAACACTGTGAGACTTTATCAAAATAAATTTTACCCACAATGGAATTATACTCTACCACAGTGCACAAGTTCTATTGTTATATCAATAGTTTATATTTAGTTGATGGGTTCGTGAAGACTTAATTAACTTGAATTGTTTGCCGCTTGCTCAATACCAGAATGCTGCATAGCCACGCGCATGATTTGGGTTTATTTTCCAGCCGACTCATTTATAAGCTTCGTCTAGTTTGTCAGTGGGCAGTAAGCCTGGAAAAAGGGAAAGTTAGGCGTTAGAATAACACCACACTCTTATGGTGTACTTGGAATGCAAAGGAATGATATTATATGATTGCATTAATTTAGGCTTCGTCATGAAGTAGGGCAACGCTGTTGCTTATATATTTTGATTTCATTAGCACCCTTAACGGTTCCAGTACATGGAGAATGTCATAGTGACATTCAGAGTTTATGCTGACTTTTGAATTGTATTCTAAAAAATCTATAAAAGCAGGCATGAAAAGAAGAAAGGAACATGAACGAAAAAGGTTTGTATTATACATCGACAGAGTATGCTTAATCTCCCACTCTCTGTCTGTCTGCTGTCAATCGTGTCCAAGTCAGAAAAGAAGAGATAATTATTATCATTATTATTTTTTCCTTTAATTCCTACAGGAACATAGGAATTCAGCCGTGCGTCTCCATTGCGTTCGGTTCTCTGCTAGGGTCTTCACGTGGCTCCAAGTCTGCCCGCACGTTTTCATAGCCTCTTCACATGACCTCCTCCATGTCACCCACCTTCGCACTGACGACCAACTCGCCGTTTTCCTTTCGGGTTCCACTTGAGCAATGGCTTGTCTAGTGATGTCACTTGATGCTTTGTTTCCTCAGAACATGGCCAATCCATCTCCATTTCTTCCTGGATATTTGTTGCACAATCGGTTCCTTCTCTGATGGTTCGCTCATCGCCAGACAACTCTGTTGCTGATCTTTTCTGGCCAGCCATCTGATCTTGAGTGGTATTGAGCGAGGACAACTGTTAATGAAGGTCTGTAGTTTGTTTGAGATGCTCTTTATGACGCGCCAAGTCTCTGATCCGTCTGGTATCACTAACTTCACATTGGAGTTGAAAATCCGGATCTTATTTCTGATGCTGAGTAGGGCTGTTGACCTCCACACAGACTTGAGAGTAGTGAAAGCTTGTCTTGCTTCTCCCATTCTTGCTTTGATATCCTCGTCAATTCCGTTCGCCTGTAGTTGGCACGATGCTTCCCAGGTAGGTAAAAGAGGCAAAAGCAGAGATAAAGGCAAATCAAAAACTAATATCATTAGGACAGCCTGCTGAAATGATGGAACACTGGACAGCTGTTTCGTCCTTGTTTGAGACTAAGCATCAGTAGCGACTGAGCACAGGTTTCGGAGTAAGCCAACTGAATATTCATTCAACCGTAGGAATGTAATCCACTGGCCTATGAATCCCAAGTTATAATAAATTGTTGCTCAGGATGGAGTTCCTGGAACTACAGTGAAAATTCGTGATTATTGGCTTCAACAAGTTTATCACGAGGAGAGATAATAGCTGATGACGCTGGCAAAATTGCAGAAGTTAGAATTCGAACCTCCTTGGGTTGGCCTCTTAAGATAAAGATCTTTTGTGCGTACTGATGAAAAGTCGCGAAATGGGACAAAGCAGCTTACTCTGATTACTGCTTTATTCAATTAATTTCTTCCAGCTTTTATCCATTTCTAACTTCTACTTATTTTTTTCAGTAGTATAAAATATAATCGTCATCAAATATATTACATCGTTAACATAATTTCTGTATTTTTGTGTTGTTTTTGTTTATTCAGTACCTGAAGATCCATTTACACGGCTGTATATCTATTCACCGGATACTTATGTTGTTCCTGAAGCTGATGGTACAGGAGCTAAAGTAATGATTCCAGAAGGTGAAATGCTAAGGGTAAGTTTATAAGACAGTTATTTTTTATATTAGTGATTTGGGTGAGTTTGAAATAACAGGTCAATAATAAGTACTTTTGCCTTGAATGATTTGATCACAAGCTTCTCTTCAAATGCCTAATTATTGGGTTTTTAACTGGTTGCATTCTTATTTCTCAGAAAGAAGGCAATACAGTGTATATAAGGGGAAGTCATCCACTTCATTGCTTACTGTGAAGTTGGTGTCCAAACAAAAGTATCTAATACAGTCCTACAGGAGATCAGTCGCGAGTCTTAATAGTTCCTCAGTGGTAACGTCTCTGATTGCAGCACTCACTAGGTGACGCGAGTTCAAATCTCACGGGAGGACATGAGTTCTTTTGAGGTTGCGGATGATACACCTTGCTGAGCGGTGAGCGCCAACAAGCACGAAACCTAGCTGGAAGGCGTTTTGCCGATAACCTACGAACATTTAATTTCGACAATATCCTTTTTTTCAATGAACGAAATATCCCCATGTGGAGTCATATGGAAAGACGTGAATAGCGAAGGAAATTTTCTTTTTGACGATTTATTTTTATGAGCTGTACAATCGTAATTATATTTAACGAAGAAAACATAAGGCCATTCAGGTACTGGTAAACTTTGTCCTCGAAAAATGTATTCAATAATGTAAGGTATAACCTAGTAGGGGTGACTAATTGGAAGTTGAAAAGGGGGGCAGAAGTTGACATGATGTAACAAGTGTGAGATAACGAATACTCAATAAGCTCCTGTACGATGGACAGGAACTAGTGGAAAAGCGATAAAGTGTTTTTATATAAAATCTGTATGAAACAGGAATGTTCTTAATAAACAGTAATAGAGTGGTAATAAAATATGGATGATGGGGATAATAATGATAATAAAATAATAATAGTAGTAAAAACAATAATAATAGTAAACTTACGCAATAAAAAGAAGCGAAATTATAGTAAGAACTTTACTCTGGCCACGGTAGGGCGAGTGAATGTATGTAGCGCTTTTGAATACAGAAGTCCGGTTTCAGATCTCGGATAGCTAATGATCCAGCTATATACAGATGGCGTAGGTGAAGTCCCTTGGACGATGTTGAGGGATTCTGTGTAGCACTGCGAAGCATTCATGCAGAGATGCTCGATGTCCGGAGATGGTAAGGTTTTCGAGGATGGAGAGGCTGCTATTCTTCTTTTCTCCTTTGGTTAACCAAGCTGGACAATGTTCCATACTACGTTTTGGACTTGACGTTGCGTACGGCCGAAATACTTTGCTCCAAACGAGCAAGTAAATTGATAAATACACAATGAAGTGGCCAAAAGCTTATCCTTAACGTTAGACTGGATTAACTGTCTGCTGGAAAATGTGATGCGTAGGGTGGCTGTTGGAAATGTCTTCTTCAGACACTCAGAAAGACGGTTTCCAATAATTTCTGCTGCGATATCACCTTTGAATTCCAGGTTCAGAAACAGAGTTTTCTCAGGAACTGGTGTGATTTTTGACGACGAAGACTTCTCTTTCATGTTTTCCTGAGAGCAGTTAATAAATACTTCTCTTCTATTCTCCATAGAAGCGGAGTGTGCTTTAGTGTGGCTTACCTCTTTTGAACAATGTTTGTGAACATTGTGTTTTGTATCCCACTGTATTATTTGTGATTTAGTTGAATATAGATAAATCTCTCACTGAATGATAGCCAAAGTGTATTCCGAGCTCTGAGTACTGGTCGAAATATGTCAACAGTGTGTCTATGTGGTATGGAAGGTAAACCAGAGAATACTACTGTGTACTACAATCCAAATGCGTCAGTGACACAGTGGTAGAATGCTCGACAACCAGGCCTCATGTGGTTCGATCCCCGGCCAGTGACGCACTCCTTTGCCTCACTAAGCCAGTAATAAGATTGGTAAAGAGGGAAGGTTGGGCATGAGGCTAGCAATCCCATCCCTTAAAAATAAAAATTACTGCTACCGAAACTTCAAGCCTCTAGCTTGAAGCCCTATATTCCACTGGGAACTTAAGGGAATGCAACTTTTGAAAAGCTGTCCACATATGTTATTTTGTCATTTGGTAGTAATAGTCAGGGTAAGCAATAAATCTAATCCACTTAGATTTCATTTCTCATTAGATTAGCAATTTTTAGCCTTCACGATTTGATATCTGACTTTAGGAAAAAAATTTCTTGATATTTTCCTTTATCTCCTTTTTTAGATTTATTGTGTATTGGAAGCTAGACCATCCGAAGAATTTACTGGTTGGCATCATACAAATCCTGAAATGGAAAACATTTTAAAAATTGATCATAAATCGTATTCATCATTAGCTAAAACAGAGAAAGCTGATTTAAGCTTAGATGGACAAAAAATTGAATGTACACTTGGTCAAAGAAGTAAAGTAGTAGAAATATCTGGTAAGTTCAGAGAAAGATTATATTTTATGCATAATTATTTATTGTTGTAATCAGGTATATGATCTTCCTGACTGCATTGGGCTGAATCATGTAACAGACCAAGGAGAATAAGAAGATGTGAATAGGTTGATCCACAATTTAACTGAATTCAATATTGGTATTGGATGGTTCGAGACAATCGTTCAGAGGAAGCCCTGCCTGTCCTAAGTTTCGTGCTAGGTGGCACCGACCAGTCAGCAAGGCCTATCTGTAACTTTAAAGAAACTCGTTTCCCTTGTAAGATTCGAATCTGCGTCACCCAGTGAGTGTTGAATTCAAACACTTTACCACTGAGGAGCTATTTGGGCTGGTGACCGGGCTCCCGTAGGACTGTCTCCAAAAAAGGGATTTCCAGTAGGCTACATCAAATTTTCTCCAATACTTATCTTCACTTGATACCGAAGACTGGATTCCCGGAAGGAAAGAATAAGCAAAAAAGACATATCGTTTAACATATACGGAGGAGCGAATGAAGATATATTGTACATACGCTGAGGAGACGTTCAAGTGACTGACTGTACCCGCCAGATCTTTAAGTGGAACCCGAATGACGACCGACAACATAGGTGATGCCAAGAACATTCCGTTTGGAGTAAATGAATGCTTGTGATACAGTTGTGGAGCTAGTCGAAAGTAATAACGGGAGTTTGATGCTGAGATCTTGTGTTCTACTCGGAAAGCAGGCGATGAACAACAATGACGATAATAATGTAGATTGAAGGACCATCATTCACTAAATGACGCCAATTTGTAGAAACATTCCACTGAACTTTGACGCTTTTCAATGTTGTCTTGTATATGCCGACTCAATAACATTCAATGATAAATTTAAATTTGCAAGCAGTCACGTCGAACGGAAGCCTGACATCCAAAAGATATTTCTACAATTTCACATTTGTGGACATGGTGATATGAATGTCCTTGAATTGGAAGGGAGTTAGATCCTTTAGCATACTAGTCAGATCTCTTGTTGAAGTCTCTGGGCGATTTAGTTTATTCTTTCATTGTGTATGAGTAATCGTCCATATTATTGAAAGCATAGTGATTAAGGCAATGTTTATTCTTACGAGTTCGATGTCACCTAGACAACCGTTGAAAACCATGGATTACTGGAAAGCTATTTCATTCTAGTTTGGGAATCATCATCAGTACTCACCCCCCACTACAGTTTGAAGCCAGGACCTCCCGGTTACATGGCAAGCTAGTTCGTATCCCATTCAGCCACTAGAACCCGATTCAATGGCCAACCGATGATTTCTAATTTCTACCAATTCGTAATTTAGCGCGACTGGCACCAACTAATGTCTTCCGTGAGAAATCCATCCTCACACTTGACTGGTTGGACCTCACTGGTCCTGACTTCTCACTAGAATTCCAGGAAACTCCATCATGTAGCAAGTCACTAGCCAGCAATATTTATTGTTGTTGAGTTGTCTGCTTGGGATTTAGAGCCAAAGATTTTGTTCATAACGACGATAAAAATCTCGAAATCTAACCATTTTAGCTCGCGGGACACAAGGTAAGACACATTTGAGCTACCATTTCTCTACATCATTTGCCATGTATATTTATAGTAAACTTAAAAGCAAACAACTTTCTTTCCCTTTTTGCCCTTATGTATTTTAGTCATTCCAAAAGATGAGCGAAGAATTCATGCAAAAATCCTGAGTGATGCATTCGTCAATGATCGTCTAATTGGTATTACGGGAGGTGATCTGAATCTGACATGTGATGTTAAACGTGAGTAATGAAAAAGCATATTGTAAATATTAGTAATTAGTAATGACTACAATTCATTGGGTCTATTCATACCTAAATAAGGCTTATAAAGCTTTCTAATGAGTAGACTGAATGGTTACTTGGGGGGAGGGGGGTTAATTAAATCATATATCTCGTCCGCAGTGTGTGGAGCTATGGCTTAAATCCCACCCTATGGGTCACGTCTTCGAACTTTGCTCCATCTATTGAGATCTTTACAGCCAGGTAGTATTGTGACGAAAGAAGACAAGGGCCAGGCAACAGATATTTATAGATTTTTATCTACATTATTGTTAGCGGAGAAGCAACCTATTCTGATTGGTCGTTTTCTTGCTTGTGACCGTTTCTCAGAAAGTTAGGCCATATATCTGCGAATCGTATTTGCACACGTTAAGTCTGATGTGACTGGTTGTTGAGTTCCTCAAAGTTAAGTTTTGTTATTGTGTTTTTTCTCGTGCCCCTGATTCGGGACGTGAACATCGACAAAAATTGTTGTCTACAATTTTGGCTTACAGCCAGCTCTCGCCACAGTATTACTAGACCTCACACATTAGGTACGACCTGTTGCCAATTACATGGAATTGTAAGTGGTTGCCGAATACCATTCATTCAGGCCTTAATGTTGGTGCTTACCGAATTCTGTCAGTCAACTGTGCAGTGTGGCCACCAAAACACAGTGAATTTTCAACTGATGTTTAGAAGCTTCAGAAGGACCGATTTCCCTTCTGAGATTCGAACTTGCATCACTCATTGCTACAGTCACCTGATATTACCATTGAGTTATGCCGACTACAGGCTATGCATCATGATTCTTTTGGAGATACTGAAGCATTTTAAAGCTTTCTAAAGTTTACTTATTGCCTTAAAGATCCAGTAACTAAACTCAGTTGGATGTCTTCTTGCTTAGCAAATGTAGTTGAAAAATTCACTGTAGATTTTGACGTTAATGAATAGATGATAACGGGGCAATCACCAAAACTGTTAATTCTAAATTCCACCGCTTACGCAATCGTAGAGAAGACGATTTAAAATGGGACTAAATATCTGTCCAGCACCCTTTTATTTTCAGTGATTTTCCTTGAGGATAATCAATTCAGAGCGACAATCAGGTGGATACGGAAATCCATAGAAGCTGTCTAGCTTCTCTGAAAGGTTTTCAGAAATAGTCTTAGCATTCTTTTTAATTCTACTGTCGATGCCTTTAGTACCTGGAAGGAGGTTAATTGACTACGTACATAAGATAATCTCATTTATCTTGAAGATGATATTAGGCAGCGCTGAATGAATAAAATGTCTTCTATAAGTCGGTTCAAAGTAAACAACTGCTGACAGTCGAGGAACTACGAAGTGTTATTCCGGTGTTTTACTCATCTTCTTGGTATTAAAACATGTTCACTTTTGTGATTCAAAGAATATCTCAAACCATACTACTTGTCTGATCTTTTAGACTATGCATTCACATGGGTGGCTTGAAACCACTCAAGTCGAGCAGTAGTTATTCCTAGTCAGATGAAAGTGATCCAAACACCGTACAGTCCTTTCGCTGGTTTGTCTCAGGGCTTATGTGAGATTTATCCAGTTTGATGAAGTCCAGAGAGCTGAACCATTTGAAACTATTCGAATCCTGGGTGGCTGATTACAAGAACCGATAACAGATGGGATCGAAACACAAAATTCAAGGCGAAAATTCACCATTGTTTCACCTAGATACCGAAGGTATTCAGATCACTTTGATGTGGCTAGCAATCATGACTGCGTGACGTCGCTTAGTAGTATTGTAACGACAGAAGACAAGGGCCATGCATCAGAACGTTTATTCAGAAAATCAAGAGATATTTATAGATTTTTATGTGCATTATTATCAGCGGAGAAGAAACCTCTTCTGATTGGTTGTTTTCTTGCTTGTGACCGTTTCTCAGAAAGTTAAGCCATATATATGCGGATCATATCTACACACGTTAAGTCTGCTGTGATTGGTTGTTGAGTCCCTAAAGGTTAAGCTTTGTTATTTTGTTTTCTTCTCATGACACCGATTAGGGACTTAAACATTGACATAAATTGTTGTCTGCAATGTTGGTTAACAGACAGCTCTAACCACAGTATATACCATCATGGATTTATGCTCGCTTTCTTTATTGCTAATGACGGTCTCAAGAAGATCGCATATTTTGAATTTTTACTTCGAAACATGTTATTTACAAATGACGAATTCACTTCTTCTTCTTCTCTGTCTATTTGAAGTTTGTTCATAACATCAAATTTCTCTCTACTCTCTTTTAATTAATTAATTAATTAGATGTCGGTCGAAAACCTGCTGCTATAGATCGAATCGATTGGTATGTCCAATATCCTAATGGAATACGACGTGAGATTAAACGAACAAAACTAGCCGAGAGTATAACAACTAGTCCACAGGGTGATTGGATTTATTTTCTTCTATTATCGGATAAACCACAAGGAGTCAACGTATTTTGTGTTGTCCGCCTAGAAGATATTCAAAAGGCCACCCAAGCATATTATTCTTCACCACAAGTTAGTCTTTGGATACGTGAACCAAAATTGTTAGTCTATATTGATGGGGAAGATCGACCTGGTATTGTCTCTGGTGCTGAAACACAAACGCTAAAGATTAAGTGTATTGTGAAAGGTGAGTTTTAACAGAATTACACTGATTTATTGAATTCATTTGATTGAGTTTACTCTACGAAAATGTCGCATCACTGTCAACATGCTGGTAGCGAGTAAAGGCATGTTGACTGTGTCCCGAGGTTAATCGGATGTTATTGTGCTGATGTTAGCTAAAAGTGGTGAAATTCAGGACACCCGTGCCTTTCTACTTCAGACACAGTCACGTCCAGCTGATGAATCCAAAGACGGACAAAATGAACAAACGCATAAATCTATTATTATAATATCGATTCAAAATAAAATGACTCACAGATAGAGATATTTATCTAATAAGAATATCACCTATCCTTCATACACTTAGTTGGATAAACAAGGTCTTCGTAACAGTTTATGTATAACATTCAATGCCTAATTTACACCTAATGTTAACTAAGTTTCCCCATTTCCTATTTACAGATGCTTGGCGTAATAAAACTATCGATGATGCTGAAATTGATTGGGAAACAAAGGTGACATCAATTCAAGAAGAAATGTCAGACAATAATGAACGTGCTAGACCCCAAGCATCACCTAGAGATTATCCAATGTTAGGCGCTAAAGCATTATATGATCAAATGATAATAGCTGGTATACGACGTCAACCAAATTGGGTTGCAAGATTCAGATGTAAAGGAACAGATTTAAAAACTGGTGCAAGTGAATATTCAGATTATGTGAAATTAGAAGTTTTAGCTGGTGATACTTGTAAGTTTGTTTTGTGTCTTTTTTTAATTTTGAGTCTTTTAATTAAGAAAGAAAGAAAAAGGCTTCAAGCTTATGTTAATCCTTATATATGTCCAAACCAAGTTCACTTTTAACAGTTTGAAAAAATGTTGGCATTGGGTATATGATATTCATTATAATAAACGTTTTCTTGTATTTCTCAATGAATGAAAAAAGCCAAACGATATTGTTGTTGTTTTTACTGACGTTTCGCTATTTAATGCTAATAGCAGAATTTTGATAGCATTATTAGAAGACGGAGATTATCTGAAAAGCAGTGTGATGTATTTGCGCTACACATTTCGAACAATCTGATCCCTCACACATTTACTTGTCAAGTCGATATATGGAAAAGTTAAATTAAACAAAGTGATAAAAAAAAAATCAAGAATAATTAACACAAACGTTTGGTAATCCAATCAAATAAGGATTACCAAAGTAGGTTAAGAGTAATAATAAACTGTTTTTGAATACACAAGGGGGGCTTAAGTTTATGAATGGCTATAACCTCAGCGTATTTCAGTAAACGTCCTTGACCGTTTTTATAGATGACCTTAAAGGCTGAGTTAACATCAACCTTATGGTTCAAATGAACTGTCGTCAAGATTTGACAGAATAGTTCTAAAATATTTGGGCGCCGAGTGAGAATTTTGCTATCGAATTAAATTAACAAAGAAACTATGTAATTGGCACAATCATCGTGTTTTCAGTCTCCGTTGTCTGGAACAAAATGCACATCCTAAATCCGTAGCTGTCGAGTCACCTGACAATTCCAGTAGGTCGAATAAAGCAGCTCAATATTCAGAAAGAAGACAATGCAATAAGTTCGACAGGGTGCTTAAACTAAACTCTAATCCTAAACACCATAATTTTGAAAATACGTCTAATCATAAAATTCTAGATACTAGCAGTTTGAACGGACATGAAGGTTTGATGTTAGCTGATGCATAGGAAATCCTGATTAATAAATAAAAATGGATATGGATCACTAATCGATAATACTTGGTCAAATTCCTGACTGTCTATATCTTCCTATGGAGACGTTAAGAGATTTTTTATAACTGTTTACACATACACGCATGCACACTCTGTTTAAAGTGTTTAACAAAGGTAGACCAATATTTGTAAGTCCGAGGTCAAATTTTGATCACGACTCATACAATTTTGTTTATTATACTTGTTAATACTTGTGTTTATGAATCATGATTGGACAAAGTTTTTAAAAACAAAAGATGTGCCTTTTATATATAAAACCTCTGTTATGTTAATTTTGATTAATTTCCCTGAAGAAGTTCGGACCAGATTGCCGAACGAAACGTTGGAATTACTCATTTCAATATCGCTGAGATATTACAAATATATTTTTTTTTTACAAACCTTATGGTTCATCTCGATTAAATGTTTAGCTATAGACGAAGTTGTTAGTCTGACACCTGCATCTATCGGCTTGTCACAATTCATCTGTTTTCCTAACCACTTTGGGATATGCTCTCCCACCCTCACGTGCAACGCGCGATTACTCCTCCCTATGTATGTATGTCCACACACACACGAAAATTGGTAGATAGTCTGGGATGTGATATAATCACTTGTGCACTTTTGAGGTTTCCAGTGAAGCATATTTTCAGCTTTTTCCACAATTACAAGCTGGGCTGCATAGTAGGTTCTACGGATGATGGAATTCAACCTTTGTCTCAAAATCCTACTATTTATTTTCCCATTATATGGTAATTTGATGAAAACCTTTTTCTTAGGGACGGTATGGATTGTAGGTTTAGAGGCTAGTTGACTTCTACACCTGTTTAAAAATTTCAAAGGATATCCGTTTTCAACAAGAGTATCCATCAATATTTCGTTTTCTTCGTCTATAACATCAGCCGTGCAAATACGCTGAATCCTCTTAAATAGACACTTCACCAAGCTTCTCTTATGCTGCAATGAACAGAAAATGTGAAAATTAAGGTATTGCCCTGTCCAAGTGAGCTTTCTGTAGATAGACCGTCTTACTGAGCCATATTCTCTTCGACTCAGAAGTATGTCTAAAAATGCGAGCTGGTTGCGACTTTCTTCCTCGCATGTAAGACTGATATGATTCTGTACAGAGTTAAGTCTGTCTGATAGACGACTCGCATCTTCATGATCATCGCATATCAATTTGGATTCCATTTGATATGAAATGCTTCTGATGATATTAGACGTTCTTTGTGATTTCTGAAATGCTTTTTCTGGATTGTTTCCATATTGTCAAAATCAATTTTGTGGCCTGATTCTATAGCGTGTAGACCACTATCTATGGCTGATGATTTTCCAAGCTATTCTAGTTCAACTTGATTCCTCGATGGTCGAACAGATGCTCTACGGTGGTCATTTCTTCCGATTTTGATTCCTGACGATGATTGTCCGGCGTATATCACATCACATTCCAAGCATTTTATTTTATCCACACAATTAGATAGAGAATCTCTGGGGATTTGGTCTTTTTTATAGACAAGGTTGTTTCGCAGTGTGTTTCATGTTTTGAAGAAAACTCTGATGTCCAGCTAATTGAGTACTCTTCTGATATCGTCTGACGTCTCCGCTCTATATGGAATGACATCTGTTGAGGTCCATGTTTTCGGAATACGTTTTCGACCATAATTAATGTCAGTGTTGATTTTGTTGATGAAGTTCATTGGGTCATGTTTGATATTTCTTCTTCTTTTTCTTTCTCATCCGTTTACGAGAGAGTGTGCTCGTCTAAGAAGACCTGAAACAACCGATACCTTTGCGCTGATGGGGTGTGATGCTACGAAGTCTAAATATTTATTGGAGTGGGCTTTCTTCCTGAATATGAATATACTAAAATGTCCGTTTTCCATCCTCTTAACTAGGCAGTCTAGAAATGGCAGTTCACTGACGTCTGATTCTGCTTTGGAAGTAAACTGAATTCTGGGAGGTAGACTGTTTATTTTCTCCATTAGTGAACTGTGTAGATCTCGTTTTGGGAAGTACAAGAAAACCTTTATTATGATGAATATGTTGATCCTTTTCTAATAAGTGTATGTAGTTGTCGAATACCTTCTTGAGAATGCCGATTGAGGACAAAGATAACACTTCTTCTGGGAGTCAGTTTCAAAACTTAATGAAACAGTACCCCAGAGATATATAGTCCCCATCTCTCGGCTTTTAAACTATCCTGATATATCATCCAAAGCGTTTCAACTTGATGAAATTTAAAAGATAAGTTAGATCAAGCCTGAAGTCAAACCAAAACTTGGCTTTATCAGTCAATGAAATCCACAACAGTTAGTTTAAGATGGCTACGTAGGAAGGTGTGGACTTTCTGGTTGAGGTCCTAGGCATGGTAAAAACCAATGGCTAGAGACAGTTATCGGTGATTTGGCTCAAAATCGTTCTCAGTGATGGCGAAGATGCATTTACTCCTTGCGACTTATAATACCCAATAAAACTGTATTATTCATCGTTATTACTATTCTTTTTTCCTCATATCTCTGTTTACTGTCTCTATTTTGCATTTCTTTTTACTTTCTCCTCTGGCTTTGTGTGCTGAGTGAAGTGTGGTGATTTGAACTGCTGCACAACGGTGCGAAGTTCTATGTTGAAACCAGTCAGTCAGTTAGAAGTCATTTCTTAAAACGCTGAACATTGTTAATACATCTCCTGCCTGCCTACGGTATAGAAATGAGAAGAGACTCGGATTATTAAGTCATTCCTTGTGCAATGTATTGTTTATGCCAGGAATCACACATGTTGTGTTTCTTTAAACTCTTTTGGACATATGTCTGTCATGTTTTCTGGCAGAGCTGTCTGCCTGGAAGCCACCTTCCAGTGGTTAGATCTGTATAAAATGGAAAATATTTCATTAATTATTCTGAAACTAACTTTAACATTATATGCTACATTCAGAACAAATAAAAAACATCTATATTTTAACACTAGTTTCAAGTCAATTTGGATCTCTGTGTGGTTCTGAGACTTGGTGCGTCACTAAAAGTATCTCCAGCAGCTTTCTGCAGGCTTTCTTCAACAGGCACCTTCGCTCCTTACTGAAGGTGAGATGTTCAGAAATTACGTGCAACGAGAAACTCTGCCAACAAAACAACCAGAAACCTACTGCCCGACAAATACGCCAGAAGGCAAAAGAGATGGACTGGACATACGCTGAGCAAAATCTTTGATTGTTAATACGCATCAGGTCTCGAAGGAGAACCCTAATGAGGAATGAGGATTTTAGTGTCCAAGAGTGAGGCAGAGGAGGAAGTTAAAGCCTATAGGCAATAATGGAGCCAACTTAAAGAGACTATGCTGAACAAGAAGGAATGGATATTTGTTGTTGAAGCCGCGTGTTCCACTCGAAACGTATAGGAACAATAATCAGTTTAGCTGAGATCTTTCTGCTACAATTCACTATGAAAATTATTGTGGATATAAAATCATATAAGCAAGAAATACATTTTTCACAACTCCTGAAAGTAGTGGACGAAAATCCTTTTGTATGAACTCGGTAATGTAGGAGCATGTTCACGTGAATAGTATTCTTGTTCTGCTTTCATCTACGTACATTCCACATTGCCTAAGACCCTTTCGGACGTCTCACTTTACAGACTGTTAACCAATCATTAGTGGCTTTCTTTTTCTCGACAGTGTCTACCTATTTTGAACTTTTCTCAAATAATATTGTTACACTGTGTGATACATCTAATAAACAAACTAATATGGAATTAGGAGCTACACAATTACTCATATTATTTTCTCTATTAATATTAGTGATAATAATAATTATTTCTTGATACTTTCCATATTTTAGTGGAACAAATCCCTAAAATTCGAATAGTATCCCATACTGATGCAAGTTCACCGTATCCAAACAAAGTTGAGTGTATTGACGACAATCAAAATCATGAATCGCAGGTCACTTGGACACGTCAAGATGAATCAATTGATCAGGTAATTTAACAGGATAAATTCTACCCTCATTATATAATCATTGCTATGTATTTTATATTTTTTATCACTAGTTAAGACAATGATGAATCGAAGAGCATCTTGAACAAATTTAAAGATATTCATCCTGCAGTAAATTTTACCTCTGAGAAAGAAAGAGATTCTAGTATTTTATTCTTAGACGATGTCCTTGTGACTGGGAAAGGGGAAGCTGCACTATTTAGAAAACCTACGTCAACTGGCTCTCAGTGTACTCACTTTTCAGCTTCGTGCCTTTGAAATACAAACGCAATCTGATAAAGTGCTTGGTCCATAGAGCAAGAACAATATGCTCTGATGAATGTCTTAATGAGGAACTTAATATTATTAAACACTTGCTAAGTGAAAACGGTTATCCAGAAAAGCTTATTGATAAGAATGTGATTCAAAAATCAAGGCAGCCCAAGGTATCAACAATTCCTAAAGAGGCCTTATTTTTACAAATTCAGTTCCTCGGGGATAACATCAGTGAGATATTAACACAACGCCTTGGAAATGCGGTAAAAGTAGCATTCCCTACTGCTGAATTACGCTATATCTTCAAAACCATCCCGGTAATTTACGTTCGGGAGTAAAAGATAAACTGCCTAATTTCGCCTCTTCCATGTGTGTCTACCAATTTAACTGCTCCTGTGGAGTCAGTTAGTTACATAGGTCGTACAATTAGTCGTGTTTTTCGTCAGATTTCTGAACATCGCCCTACGTGGTTGGTTAAGTAAAGGACAAACAAAATCTATTCGTAGCGCTATTCTATCTCATCTTGTGGATACAGAACACAAGATTGCCGTTAACGAGGCGACTTTCAAAGTCACCAACCGTATAATCTTAAATTCACCTTAATAGTTCGTGCACTACATATTGCTGAGGATGGCTGTTGGGATCCACATTAAGAAACCCAACATATGTATCCAAGACACCTTGGTTCATACATTGTCCTTACCCTCCTGGCAATCAAGGTTTTAACGATCCCCAATTTGTTGTGGAAATTTCCTTAATTTTATTTATATTCTATTTGCTTTTACATTTTTATGCTTATTATAATTTATGCATCTTTCTTGAACTGTGATAATTCCATTGACCTGACTAAACAAAATTGAGAGTATTTAAAAGACGCCAGTATTGTTAATGACGACTATTCTAGGATATTCTAAGTATATAAACATATATATGTGTACCTGTAGAGAAAGAAGAGGAAATTATCGAAAAGGATATCTTTGGATAAATTTTTTTCGTTTTTTTCTATATGTCTGGATGAATAAGAGACTGTTCGCAGGTTTCACTAATTAACCTTCCTCTTCGTCAACATAACCGTACTACCTTAGAAAAATGTCACCCTATTCCACGCCATTGTGTGATTACAATTAAGTGAGTTCAAGTGTTGGTTTTTTAGGGATTTGATTGGTTACGGGATTTCATCATGAGCTGACATTAGCTAGAGAACCATTGGAAAACCTGGGAGTACTGGACAGCTGTTTCGTCCTAGTTTGGGACTCTTCAGAAGTACGCGCCCACCGGGATTCGAACCCATGACCTTTTCGTTACAAGGCGAGCTCGTATACCATTAAGCCACTGAAACCCGATCCTATGACTAGCCCATGAATTCTAACTTCTGCCAATTCACGACATAGCGCGACCCCTCGCCAATATCTTCGGCGAGTATTTGTCCTCACACCTGGCCTGCTGCTGCACCCTACTGGTCACGACTTCTCACTATTATTCACTATTCCTTATTATTACTCCCTTGAGTTCGGAGTCGAACATAGGGCTGATTTCAACAAAACATCTCCAGCTCGTCCTATCTTTTGCCATCCACGTCAGCTTGAACCACAGTTGCTCACAATCTCTCATCTCCTCCTCACACGATCTCTTCCATGTCACCCTCAAACTGATGACTCACTCGTCGCTTCCCATTGGTATTCCTTTGCCCAGTATAATACTGTAGACGCATCGTCCTTTTTCAAGTATTGGTTTTGTAGGGAATTTTCGTTTGATTTGTTGGAGGATTTCATCATGAGCTGATATCAGTTAGAGAACCATTAGAAAACCCACCCGGGAGTAGTGGACAGCTGTGTAGTCCTAGTTTGGGACTCCTCCTCGGTTCACACTCACAACAGGGGTTCGAAGGCAAGAGCTTCCGGTTACAAGGCGAGCTAGCTGGCAGACCATTATGCAGCAACTGGGACCCTATCCAATAGCCATCCCATGAATTCTAACTTCGTCGCTTTTATTATCTGAACGTATTCAATCAAGTCATATTATGTTTGACTTTATGTTTGATGTCACACAAAATAGAAGACTAACAAGTGAAAACCGACAAACTGGTCGAAGAAGCAGCAAAAACGCGGCTCCAGGTGAACATATACAAGACGGAGGTTATGAAAATAACCAACCAACTACAACAACAGCAGCAACAACAACATCCAGCGCCAATCATCAACGGGGGGATTTGAAAGAGGTTACTTCATTCACTTATCTAGGGAGCATTGTCTCAGCTACAGGTAGGTGGGACGGACGGGGATGTCAAATCGAGAATCGGGAAGGCGAGAAACACATTCATCAACCTGAAACCAATCTGGAAATCTTCCGTGTCACTCAACTCAGCATCAACAACAGAATTCGCATTTTCAATACAAACGTCAAGTCAGTTTTGCTATACGGATCAGAAACTTGGCGGGTCACAAAGAATATTTCCAACAGCCTGTTGCGAACCTTTATCAACAACTAACTGTCTTCGCTGGCTCTATACTAAAGATCAGATGGCCGGAAAGAATCACCAACAAGAAACTATGGGAACAAACAAAACAGGAACCAATCGCCCAACAAATATGCAGGAGAAAGTGAAGATGGATTGGACACTCGTTGAGGAGGCCGCTCGCTGGGTGATATCGCGCGTCAGGCCAACGCTCGAGTGGAACCTGAAAGGGAAGCGGCGGCGAGTGGGACGTCCAAGGGTAATATGGAGGCGATCGTATGAAGAGGAGTTGAAGCAGTCTGGACTAACATGGATGCAGGTGAAAAGTACAGCAGAAGGCAGAAGCAAATGGAGACGTGCAGTTGAAGCCCTATGTTCCACTAGGAACCCAAGGGAACAATAATAATAATATTATATTTTAATAAAATTTTAATCGTATTCAACTTTCTTAATTTGTCTACATCTATATATATTCAGGAACAGATAACAACCGCGCCTAATTCAGCTACACTGAAATGGACGTATAATGGAGTGGATAAATTCGATCCAAGAATTCATGCTGGTATTTATACATGTAGAGCTGTTAATCCGTATTCATCGTCTGTGAAACAAGTGTACATTCCGTATGATTTAATGCCTACAGGTAAGTGTGAATTTGATTATTTTTTTGTTTTACTTCTTTGTTCAACTAAGCTAACTTGCTTCCAGTCAATTATTCATAAACTTTTTGAAAAACACTATAAATTATTTAAATTAATCCCCGCGTGTTTAAGAGAAAATCAAAACAAGATATGTTTTCTGAACGTTTCACTGTGTAATCCACAGCTTCTTCGGCAGATTTATTCGGATTTTAATTAATCATCAAAATATATAGTCAAAAAATTTAAAAAAAAGTCATGGAGGCTCATAAAGTTTTGTAGTTTTTTTTTCATCTGTCTTGCTTCATAAGAGTTTGCCACATAGGTGATAAGTCTATCCCTTCTCTCCTTTCTATTTACTGCATTCGATGTGGTTAAAATGTGCAAGGCTTCAGAGGTCAACCTTTCTTTATGTGTTGAATGAAAGCCTCTTCCTAGAATTTCGACATTGTCGAAATTAATCTGATATTCGCTGTCTACTGCATGCATTGCTATAGCCGATCTTTATTCTAGACTTTTTAGTTCTACTTCATTTCTAGGTGGATGTTTCGAGCATAGTCTATGTTCATTCACTCTGACCTTCACCTGTCTACTGCTTTTCCCTAGATATAGCATGCTTCACATTCTGAACATTTTATCCTTTGGACACAATTACTTTAACATTTTGGGGACCATATCTTTGACATTCACCAAAGCTTTCTCTAGAGAATTAGAGGGCTTGAAATAGAAATTAATATTATATGAAGCAAGTAGTTCTTTCGATATGGAATGGCTATCGCTGATAGCCAAGATTTTTCATTTTTTTGTTTTCCCTTATGCTCCATTTTATTGATATTATTATCTAGTAGCTTTCCCGGTTAACCATTTCCAATCAAAATTTGTTTTATATTGGATATCTCGTTATCCATATCATCATTATCTGTTATAATGTTTCTAGCTCTGTTGACGAGACTTAAAGCTACTGAAACTTTCATTCCCATTGGATGATCTGATTGGAAATTCAAATACTTGTTGGAATGTGTGGGTTATCTGCATATTGCAAACTTTAGTTTCTCGTCATTTTGTCGTTTTACAAGACAATGAAGAGAGTTTAGAGTTCCCTCAGTCTATTCAACTTCACTAGTAAGCTATATATATTCTGAGATTAAGTTAATCTCTGTTAGATAGTTTTCTTTTTCAGCTTTTTTAATGATGATAAATGTATCATCTACATATCTGTAGCATATTCTAGGATGACAACTAAAACTTATCAAAGCTTTCCTTTCTAGGGCTTTCATATACAGGTTTGCTGTCCATGGACAAATAACCCTCAAATAAACTGACTTCAATTTTTGTAAAAAATTTTTGACTATATATATTCTGATGATTAATTGTAATCCGAATAAATCTGCAGAAGAAGCTGTGGGTTACACAGTGAAACCTTCAGAAAACAGATCTTGTTTTGATTTTTTCTGAAACACGCCGAGATTAATTTAAATAATTTATAATGAATCAATCTGACTTGGCGCTCAAATTATTCGAGGAAGTTCGTAACACCTACGGTCTGGAAACTTATTTCTGAAAAACACTTTTTTTCATAAAAAAGCAGTTGAAAAATCTGAACTCGTAGAAGGATAGATAATTTTCTGTTGGGTATTAATCTTTATAACATTGATGCCCCTCCTAAGGTATCCTTTGAAAGGTGTTTATGACGCCGGTCGAACAAAATACGGGTGGAATATGTATTTTTTCAAATCGTGGAAAATACCCATCGGGACATTAGAGGAAAAAGAACAAGAAGTTCAGCAGCAAAGATATATGTCTTTTCGGCGATTTCATTCTCAAAAGCAGCTGTACAATCGCATTTATATACATTAGTTTACATGGATACAATTATTATTTATTTAATTCCACATAGTAACGAAAGAGATAATAATTTTCAATTTGATATGAAAGTTAGGAGGTATGAATATAGATTACAAGAGGCTTAGAAACAGAAAAAATTACACAGGATTAGAATATAATTGTAAAATGGTTATTCTAAACGGATTACAAGTGTAATCAGGAGGAGCATGGAAACAAACTTAAGATAACTGATTTTATAACTGAAAAAAATGGGATGAATTGAATGAAGACAGAGAGAAAATTACACACGCACAGAGAATAAAACAAGAAACTGAAGGATAAGAGAACATACTGAACTAGGTCCAGGGTAGTTGTAAAGGCTGGACTAGTTTCTTTTGAACACATAGCTCCGGCTTTTTGATGCATACGGCGAGGGCTTCCACAGTACTAAGAAGTCAGAAACACACTGCCTTTGGTAGATTTTTGTTTACTTTGTAAATGACTCTGAATGATGAGTCAGTTGAGATTCTGTGACAGGTATTGGCGAGGTGTTCAGTTATTGCGCTTCTGATTGAACCAGTACCTCCTCTTTGCACATATGTATTCGCATTTAAAATGGTCAACTAATGGAACTCCTTATCCAACCAAATGTTATTCTCTCCATCTCTGAATGTTTCCGAGGAGAAATTGAGTCTGCAGGAAGATTAATACAAGTTACAAAGATCTACTGCCCTGCGTCCCTTAGTCTGAATCTGATTTACTAGTAGACTTGTTCATATAGTCATACATATCTTTAAAGCATATATAAATTTAAAGTTGAGTATCAAATACCAACATGGCGTAGAACCTTTGTATTCCCATAAAATAGACCAAACCGCTTAGAAAAAAGGCTTTATTTCCTAAGATTTTCAAAGAAATCGCAGAAGTAAGGCGTTTTCTTTTTCCTATTATAACATCCAAAATCAACATACTGTGGTCACGATGTAGGACACCGATCTTTGTGTTCTTCTGTAGAGCTGACTAGAACTTCTGTGAGTTACTCACAGTCAAAAAAAATGTCCCATCGACAGCAAAATGACAGTTGTTTGCGATAGAAAATGTGGTACTATTTGACAATAATAACGTGTCACATAGTAAAAAAATTTCAGATCCAATCCTTTCTCGAGTACAAAACAAATACTGTACAACAAAATTATTTAACTAAAATAAACCAAGTAGAATATTCCCAATAAGGTGGGATCAAACCTCTGTCAGAGAGAGATCTCTGGGAGCGAACCAACGAGGAACCGATTGTGAAACAAATATCCAGGAAGAAATGGAGATGGATTGGCTGGTCATACTCTGAGGAAACCATCAAGTGACATCACTAGACAAGCTATTGCTCGAGTGGAACTCGAAAGGGAAGCGTTGAGTTGGTCGTCAGTGCAAGGGTGGGTGACTTGGAGGAGGTCATGTGAAGAGGAGATGAAAGCATGTGGCAGACGTGGAACCAGGTGAAAACTCAAGCAGAGAATCGAACGCAATGGAGACGCACGGCTGAAGCCCTATGTTCCTCTAGGAATTTGAAGAAACAATAATAATAATAATGATAAACCTCTGTCAACAAGAATCACACACCGACAATTCTTACAGACAGTCCAAGGTCAGAATGATTCCAACTCATTTAAATAAAATCGCATTGAGAAATAACACATTATCATTGTCCTCATACAACCACAAAGAGAAACACTAAAATTAGATATAAAACAGGAACAAAGATAAATGATAAGGATTAAGTCAATGGGTGACATGTCAACGTCAGAAAAACGGATAATGATGACAAAGTTAGTTGAAACATCCAGATAATTATCAACAATGCAACTGGACCGTTCACGAAGGAATTTCCCAACAATTATTCCTCTTACGCCTATTTCTTTTTCTTTCGGAGTATGTGGCATACAACTGACTTGTTGGAAAAGTTTACTGGGGTATCAGTAGGCTTAGTTTGGGAAGCATTATGCCAACGAATACTTCGAACTTATATTTTTATTATTCTTTCGTTTAGTTCCTAGAGGAACATAGGGATTCAGCCACACGTCTCCATCGCGTTCGGTTCTCTGCTAACGTTTTCACCTGGCTCCAAATCTGCCCACATGCTTTCATCGCCTCTTCACATGACCTCCTCCACATCACCCCACCCTCGCACTGATGACCAACTAGTTGCCTCCCATTCGGGTTCCGCTCGAGCAGTGGCTGGAGAGTGATGTCACTCACTTGATGGTGTGTTTTCTCATAGTATGGCCAATCCACCTCCATTTCTTCCTGCATTTGCTGCACAATTAGTTCCTGCTGGGTTGGTTCGCTCCCAGAGATCCTTGTTGCTCATCTTTTCTGGTCATCTTATCTTCACTGAAGTACTGAGTGAACACAGCTGTTGATGAAGGTCTGTAGTTTGTTTGAGGTGATCTTCATGACGCGTCAAGTCTCTGATCAATATAGTAGCATTGACTTCCCATTGGAGTTGGAAACGCATCTTATTTTCATTTCCATGCTGAGTGCTGAGTGTTGATCTCCTCCACACAGACTTGAGAGTAATGAAGGCTTACCTTGCTTTCCCGATCCTCGCCGCTTTGATATCCTCGACAGTTCTGTCTGCCTGTAGTAGAAACTATGCTTCCCTGATCGATAGGTGAAGGAGGTTGTTTCTTGTTGTCTGTTGTTGCCACTGTTGGTCAGGAATTTTCATCACCTCTGTCTTCCCTAAGTTTGCCTAAAGTGAAGTCCTATCTTTGGTGCTTCTTCTGTCAACTTGTTGCTTTTCACTTGCATATTTTCCAGTTTGTGGGGAATCAGGCATATATCATCGGCGAAGTCCAGGTCCTCCAAGTTTCTTATGTTCGTTCATTTTATGCCTGTTTCCTGGTTGCTCACTGTCTGTCTCATTATCCAGTCTAAATTATAAATGCCCACCCTTAGGTAAAGAAATACAACTGGAAAGTTTCCATTTACTAATTATGTAAACAGTTATGCATACCTATCTGCCGACTTTTGATACATTTGTTTGTTGTGTTTCTTTTTTTCAAGATTTTGAGACACCAATTATTCCTGAAGTACGTATCTTTTCAAATGTCAATGAAATATTCCAAGATGCTGAGGATCGATATGTTCGTGTTATTCAAGGTCAACCATTTGAAGTAAGTTTTATCGTGGACAGTAGTCGCGCCTTACACTGATTTATTTTATTCAAGTGTTCTGTATACATCTGAATGGAGACATGGAATCATGTATCACTGATTAATATAGTTAGCTGGAAATGACTCATGTCAACCAGTGATACTTGCCGGCCGTGATCGAAGTAGTTTGAACATCACTACAGACGAATTATAAATTCAGTCCCAACATCATTGGGAATCTGAAAATTTCAAACATGCAATCGAACTTTTCTACACTCTGAGGTATACTACATTCGTTGGTTATTGAAAAATGTTGAGTGAAAATACGAAAGACGTATTAGTAATAATGGTTCTATCGATAACAAGGACGAAGAAGTGAGGCGATCTGTGATAATAAGAATAACGAAAAACAGAATGATTAAACAAACAAATGTTCAGGTAGACGTAGTATTCAATGAAGGCTAAGAAAAGCAAATGAACCGATTAAGTAATGCTACATTGTAAGGGAAGTAAATAAAACGCTCTTTTAATGAAGATGTGATAAGATTTAGGGATGATAAGAGACGGGTTGAAAATACAAGTAAGGGAAGGTGGAGAAGTCATCAGTTGGTTATATCTTAATAGGCCAACGAGAGAGGGATAATGGTTATGTACGAACTTCTTTTGAATGCATAGTTTAGGTTTAATAGTTCGAATGCCTATCCCCTCAGTTGTGTGCAGTAGATGAGTCCGAAGTCTATTGGAAAGATTCTGTAGGATACGATGAATTACCTTCACAGGCCTCGTTTTCTCCACTACATGACCACTGACAACTGAATGTGACAAAATGGAGCTACGGATTGTTTTTGTTTGTCCTTTGCCAAACCACCACGATAGGAGATTTTCAGTAACACGTTGGCTAAGCTGTCTACTAGTGGTATGGTCAAAATAACTGTCACCGCAGGTGCAGTTGAATTGATAAACGCACATAGATGTGGCAAAACTATCTAGCTTATCCTTCCTTTGCGTCCCGATCATTCGTTTGCCAGAGAATGACAAACATAGGTATGCTACGTAAAATGTTCTTCGTATACTCCTGGAAATTTTCTGCAATAAAATCTTACCTGACAAGTCACCATTAAATTGTAACTTAATAAACAGAGGTTTTTTACGTGCAGTCATAGTCTCAGGTTTTCCCTCCAGTGTTTTAATATGTTTCTTTATGAAACCACTCGGATAGCCCATCCCCGTTAAGGAATCATGATAATATTCGAAAAGACGTATTAATTCACTTCGACTGTTGTGATAACAGACTAACAGGTGTCTCGCTGACTGAGTGCTCACCGTACAACTATGAACAAAATAGCAGCAGCAGCCCTAGTCGGCACACCACATATGGCGCACAATGGTATGGAAAAAATTTCAAAGGAACTATAATGAACACAAATATATCAGTGGAGTTTGATGGATCTTCGGCTTCCTAAATAACGAATTCATCTGCACCATTAAGATCAATACTGATGCCTATCGTCAGTAGTTTCAAGTCATTATTTCTTAGCGTCTCGAGGTCTCCAGCCCTACGTAACTGACTAAAATCAACTTCATGAATTGGTAATAGGTTTTGTTATGACCGCTGCTAACTCTTTTCCCACCTAACGCTAGGTCAGATAACATTTCTTGATGAGGAAGGTGATAGCCTGACATGCGTAGCAAGTGTTTTAACTATCTTGATCAACTCAGTTTCTCAGCGTCATCGACTGATTTCTCCTTCTTATGTAACACCATGTTATACCAATTTTCAGATGAGCTAGAACTTAAACACCTGTGGCCAGATGCTGGTGGCTTCTTAATGTCTCTACTTTGAAAGGCCATGCATCACAGAGATAAAGACGGACAAAGTGTCGTACAAACATTTAGGCATCGTGTAGCTACAAGAACAACTAATCTTTACATACTTAATCGGTGGATGATGACTAGCAGTGAAATCCAGCATGAGCATTTAGTCCTATCTGGGACTCTTCAACTGGGCGTGCCTGAATTCCGAAGTGAGTGATGACGTTCCCACCAAGGCTCGAACCCAGTTGTGGAAACATCATCACTCACTGCGGAATGCAGATACATCAAGCTAACGAGTCCCAAATAGGACGAAATGCGCATCCTGGATTTCACTGCTAGTCACCATCCACCAATTAACTTCTGATTACATGCCCAGACATCGTTGAAACATCCGCACAAGAAGCTGACATGTCAACTTGAAACCGAGCACTTTGGTCCAATCAATCGATGGGAAAATCCAAAATTGGATTAAATAATCTTTATGTTCTTTTACCAACTTTCGATTATTTCCTTTTCTTTGATGTTAACAAGCAGTGACATTAATTTATCTCATGAATTATATTTTCTCTTTTTAGCTGATTTGTACATTTTATGGACATCCTCCACCAGAAGGTGGTCTCCAATGGTCTATTGACAGATTCAATGGTACACGTAGTTCCTTAAGTTCACATTGGTTATCAATGCAAGGCTTGACAATTCATTCTGGTCGTCATTATTGGACACAGATTGGTTCACAGCAATTTGATGCACAAGGTAGACATACAGGTGTATTTCAGTGTACAGCAATGAATGCTATTGGTCAGATGATTGAAAGAGATCAAGTCAGAGTTGAACGTGAGTTAAATTTTAAATGTTTTATATATGATTACTTGTCATTAAGTTAATTTTGCATTTCCAACTGACTGATTACATTGGACCGAAATGACCGGTCCATGTTGACACATTGGCCAGTTGTGCATACGTGAGGTTATCCAGAATGCGCGTTTCGTCCTGTTTCAGATTCATCATCTGGATGAACCTGCACGCCCAGTAACTGATAATGTTCCCACTAAAACTGCAGCCATTGTCTCAATGCCAAAGTTTTACGCACTAGGCTACGAGGGCTTACTGCGAACCGCAGGCACATCCAGATGACCAGTCCTAAGTAGGATAAAGTGTGTGTGTCCTTAACTCCACTGGCAGTCACCTCCAGCCAAGAGTAACTCTGTTCTATATGATAATGTGTGTCGCTACGTTTTAGTATCATGCCGGTAACTGAACAGAAAGTGTTTAGGTTGTATTACACCGACAGATCTGTGAGTAGAGAATGTTCCGATGAGAAAAGATGCATGTTTCTTCGATTCGCAAAATTAGAAAAAAGGCAGATAAGCAGGAAGGAGGTAGAAAAAGTGATTAAGAATCGTAATATTCAGTGAAAATCTTAGTATAAGCATGACATATTTTACCACTCAGATTGGTTGTTTAGGTAACAATGTAACTGAATGGCTCAGTGTTCGGAAGGACAAAAAAGTAAATCGCTAGACTGTTATAACTGAACTGACCCGTCGCCAATTTGTTATGACTGAAGTGAACTGAATAAATCCCGTGGCTGCTTTGTTATGTCTGCGCTTGTTAATTACTATAACGGTAATGAACTCGACTGGTTCGCTAATACGTCTCTGTTTGTCCGTTGTACTTTCCAATTCACTGAGGCACGCAAATATCAATAGACAAAGGCTTGCCTGTAACTGTAAGATATTGTATTGTTGTATTATACTATATAGTTTAAGAAACAACACATGATATTTACACATTTTCTTTACAAATAATAAAGTTGGCTCACAACCGTGAGAATGAATTGTTCGTATTGTCTGGATACGGTGATACAAAACACCTTAACATAGTAACTCCATCACAAGATAAATCACACGATTCGTGAGAAAGTATGGTATACTGTCCTATATATATATATATATATATATATCAAGAAATTGGTGCGTCACGAAAAGCATTTCCAACAGGCTACTTCAAATTCCCTATAAGTTTGTTTATTAGATGGATCACACAGTGAAAGTGCCACTTGAGGACATAATGCTGGGAATGCAACTATGCCTGACTATCACAGTATTTAAATTCCTCCAAGGGAAAATATACAAACAAACTGAGAGTTGTCATGGTGTTATCAATATCCTCGGTTGTGGCAGATATGATCATGGATAGGTGGGAAAACATAGTGATTGAAACGTTCAGACCCACCCCAAAAGTATGGTGGAGGTATGTAGATGACACATTCACTGTGTGTCATCGGTGCGTCGGTGGTATAGCGGTTAGGACGCTCGCCGACCATGCAAATGGTCCGGGGTTCGATCCCCGGCCGACGCACTCCTTTACCTCACTAAGCCAGAAATAATGCTGGTAAAGAGGAAAGGTTGGGCATGAGGCTAGCAACCCCATCCTGTAAAAATAAATACTGCTACAGAAACTTCAAGCCTCCAGCTTGAAGCCCTATGTTCCACTGGAAACGTGAAGGAATAATAAAAAATAAATAATAATAAATGTAGATGACACATTCACTGTACTTAAAACACAGGATAAAGATAGATTTTTCGAACACATTAACTCAAAGGTGGAGGTGATTCAATTTACTTATGAATTAGAAAGTCAGGAAGAGGAGCTTCCAATGTTAGATTGCAGAGTAAAAAGGAAAGATGTGTTTACAGGAAACCCACACATTCAAACAGATATTTGGACTTCCGATCATCCCACAAAATCTGTGTCAGTGAAAATAGGATTGGTGAAGTGTTTAAGTGATAGAGCACAAAAACTAAGCAGTAGCGAGGAAAATCTAAGACGTGAAGTGAGGCATATAAGAGAAGCTTTGAAACTTAATAATTACTCTAATAAATTAGTCAGAAAGTATGTAGGGAAGTTTGTGCGTCGGTGGCATAGTGGTTAGGACGCTCGCCGACCATGCACATGGTCCGGGGTTCGATCCCCGGCCGACGCACTCCCTCACCTCGCTAAGCCAGAACTAAAAGCTGGTGAAGAGGAAAGGTTGGGCATGAGGTTAGCAACCCCATCCTGTAAAAATAAACACTGCTACAGAAACTTCAGGCCTCCAGCTTGAAGCCCTATGTTCCACTGGGGAACGTGAAGGAATAAAAAAAAATGTAGGGAAATTCAAAAATAAAATAAATAATAATGGTAGTGATAGTGATAATAATAATAATAATGATAATAATAATAATAATAGTGACCGCATGCATGTCAAACATGTGGTTGCGCATGTGCAAACACCAACAATAAGGAATCTAAATCATCAGTAGTAATTCCATACAAGGAAGGAACCTCGGAAACCATCTTACGCAGAATTCTTAACAAGGTAGGAATAAAATTGGCTGGCAGTCAAGCCCACAAACTCAATTAGAAACAAGTTTTATCGGTTAAAGGATCTGTCCTGTGGAAACTTTAAAACAAAACAATTTAGTTTATCTAATACCCTGCCTGCAATGATTGTCAGGTCCAATACATGGGTCAAACTAGTAGAACAGGTGCAGTGAGTCAGACTAGCGGAGCATAAAATCCTAGCAGCGAAATCTAGATTAATTGACCGAATAAGATAAGAAATCTAGAGAATAGTTTGGCTATAACACTACACCACATGCAATTACACACAACCACACAAATAGGCTGGATGGGATAAGATGACAGTTTTAAAATCTAATGTCACAGGGTGGAGGGAGAGATTGATAACAGAAGCTTTGTTTATCGAATCAAGTGCAAACACGTGTAAGGAGAATAATTCAATAGCTTCCCCGCCGGACATCTGGAAAATTCTCCTACCCTTACGACGAATGGGAAAGAATAAAGAAAACTATAAAACTCAAGTTTCGAAGATATAAGAATAAAACTTGGGTACTGTGGTAGAGTGTAATTCCATTATGGGTAAATTTTTTTTTAATTTTCATAAAGTCTCACAGTGTTATACAGTAATATTTACTGATGACGTTTCGAGCACAATTTATTGCTCATAATCATATCAAGTTTCGAAGTCATGTGATTATAATTGGCGATATGATTATGAACAATAAATTGTGTTAGAAACTTTGTCATCCAGTAAATAATACTGTTTCACTGTGTGATATATCTAATAAACAAACCAATATGGAATTACTACCACAATGCCCAAGTTTTACACATATTTTAATAAGGCCACTTCAAACTTTTATCAACAGCTCCCACCTTCGCTAGCTCCATATCGAAGAATAAACAGCCGGAAAGAATTAGCAGCAAGATACTATGGCTGAGAACAAACCAACCAAGAACCTATTGCTCAGCAGATATGGAGAGGAAAGTGAAGATTGATTGGGGGCAGTCTAAGGTGACTATCGAATGAAATCGCGCGCCACGCCATTGCTCAAGTGGAACCCACATAGGGAACGACAAGTAAAACATCCAAGGGTGACATAGAAGAGGTCATTTGAGACTGAGATGTAAGAACATGGGCAATTGTGAGGACAGCTAAAGAGGACCCCGGGAAATAGAACAAAGTGGAAACGTGCTGTTGAAGCCCTATGTTCCACTTGGGAGCGAAGGGAACAATAATAATATGATGATATAAATCACATTGTCTCTACCTTAAATACTCCGTTTATGAACTCGGTATATGCCCTTTTTACAAAAAAGACAAATCAGGCTATTAAATAGGTAGTAGTGTGGGAACTGTGCGTCGGTGGCACAGTGGTTAGGACTCTCACCGACCATGCACATGGTCCGGGGTTCGATCCCCTGCCGACGCACACCCGATATCGATGGTCGGCCTGTGAAATTTGGGCCACCGATATCCATGCTGAAAATTCCATACTTGTACTGAAAATACGGTGTGGCATCAAGCTGTAATCAAAAAATAAATAAAAAAATAAAATAAAAATTGTGGGAACTGTAATACATGAGGTTGGAAAGACTTCATTCTGGTTTCACAATAGAAACAATTTCAGTCAACATCTTTCAACTCAACAATTCCATTAGATTTCGCTTTAAACTTTGGAACCTTCCTACTAGAAATTATTTGGTAAGTAGAGTAATTAGTTCCCTTTTGCATAACACATTTCGGACAGTCTGATCACACACACACACACACAAACTTGTCGTACATGTTTACATAAAAGGCAGTAGAGCACAAGGGATCAAAATTTTTAGCGGAAGAGTGGTAAGAAAAAAGTGGGAAGGGTGATTGAATACATTACGAAGCTTGGTTCTAATTGGTTTCGCTCATCAATACTTTCATCCCCTTTCTTTCTTATCTCATTTTTCTTACCCCATTTTCTAACCTCACATCTGTGTTCTTGACCCCTAGACACTTTGATCTGTATTGATAAAAACTATGATCCTATGTGATCTGTTGTCTTTTGTATAAATATATAAGACAAGTACGCGTGCGATTAGACAGTCAGAAGTGTATTTTTTAATTCATGGAGAATTCCCATTGGGACATATAGAGAATCAAGATAAATGACTCAGCGAAGAGACTCTTTTCAACAACGAAATTATTATTAAGCTGAACAATGGCAAATGTATGGTTTTTAAGAAATTATATCCAGTGAGGGAATTGAATCAAAGGTGTGAATACACAAATCGATGATAGTAGTATGAAATGCAATTAAAGTATTTGTGATTATAATCATAGTTCAGTGGCAAAACATTTAGTGTCATATATAGAATAATTCATAGGATGGATAGAACTTGGAAGGAGTGTGTGCAATTATAGGATTAATAGGCAAATCGAATAAGAATAACAACGTTACGTAACATTGTGCGAAATTTGATAACATAGAATTCAGCGTTGCAAAACAAAATTGATTGAGAATGATAAGTATTATTATTATAACTTTGGGTTCCAAGTGGAACTTGGGGCTTCGCCAACACACCTCCACTTTGTTGTATTTTCTGCTGTCCTCTTCAGCTGGATCCACGATTACCCATAATCTCTCTTCTCCCCCCCCCAAAAAATGATCTCCTTCATGTCACCATAGCAGTGACGACCCACTCGTCGCTTTCCATTCACCTCCCACTGAAAAGACTGCCTTCACTAAATGCGATGTCATTCGACGGCTTCCTTAGTGTATGCCCCATCTGTCTCCATCTTCTCTTACATATTTGTTGAGCGATCGGCTCTTGGTTGGTTATTTCCCAGCCAGCCAGAGTTTCTCGTTGCTAATTCTTTCTGGCTGGGTGGCTGGCTGGCTATTTGATCTTCAGCATGGAGCCAGCCAGCAAAGTGGGCAGCTGTTGATAAGTCTGCCGTAGTCTGTTGGAAATCATTTTCGTGACATGCCACACCAAGCTTCTGACCCGTATGGAAGAACTGACTCAATTTCCATTAGTGTTGAAAATCCGAATCTTGTTCCGTATGCTTGGTGCAGAATGACAAGTGGAAAGAGTGAAGTAACACAGAGGGCAATTCAAAGTGAGAATAATAATAATAGTAACAATTGACGCAATAAAGGAAGAGTATACAAAGTGAATAAACAAAACGAAAAAATAAGTAGAGCCAAAATATGAATAGGGTTTATCATACTTAAGCATACAGGGATTAAAACCATGAAAGTTGGAGGGTTTGAATGGACTTCTGTATGCAGAGATCTAGCTTCCCTATTTCAATGGCCACGATAAGACAGACTGTCACCTACCACCTGTGTACTTTAAATATGTATTATTATATTATTGCTATTCATCTGAGTTCTAAACAGAGCATAGGGCTCTAGCAGTATGTCTCTATCTTGTCCCGTCCTCTGTAGTCCTCTTTAGGTGGTTCCATGAATACCCATAAGCCTTCATCCCGTCCATATCACCGTCGGATGCCCAACTCATTGTTCTCGATTCAGGTGTCATTTGGGGGCGTGGCGGGTGATATCACCCAACGGTCTCCTCAGAGTGTATCCAATCCGTCTCCATTTTTAACCGACAAATCTGTTGAGTTATGAGTTCTGGATTGGTTAGTTCCCAGAGTTTCCTTTTGCTAATTCCTCCTTCAATTGTATATTTTAGCTTAAATTAACTTGTTTGACACTGAACTATCATCCTATGAAAATCACACATCCAGTAATTGTTACTGAATGAATATTGCTAACCAGAATAATCTTAAAGTGGAGTCAGAAACTCAGCAGAAGTAGCTGCTGCAACTCATAATGTTATTTAGTTGATGGTAGGTAGCAGTAGAATCCATGATGTGCTTTTCGTCTCATCTCAAACTCCTCAGTTGGATATATATCTGCATTCCTAGTAAATAATGACGTCTCCACTGATAGCTGAACTCATCAGTGATCGTAACAAACGCTAAACAGCTATCTACTAGGCTACTAGGTCATGTTGATTTACATTTTATTCATTTTGCTTTGTTTTTCTTTTCACAGTTCATAAAGTTTATGTACGTATTAATGAATTGAGTGAATCTGGTCTAATCGAGAATCAAAAAGGTCAAAATGGTACAATTACATGCAATGCCTATGGTAAGTATATAGTCCTTATATATTATAAATTCGAATTCTACTCATTTGTATGAACTAAATTAAGAAGAAGCTAAAACAATCTGGAATCACTCAACCTATGCTTTTACAATTTGTTCACTCGTGTATCTTACCTATTGTACTTTACTGCTCCCCACCCTTAGTCTTTCCTGGGTTTTTGAAAAAGGACTGTATCATATTGAGGCGAAGGGTATTAAAGATTACCAGTATGGCAAATGGTGTATGTCCAAGTTAAACTTTAAGCACCACTCACTACCATTGGAGTGCGACCGCACCAATGACCTCGGATCGCTCACTGAGCAGGTTGGTAAAATTCGGCAAATAATGTTGACATCATCAATAAAATATGCTCATCAAAGTGTTTTGCTATTAAATGGGATATCTGGCAATTTTAAGCTTAAGTTTGGGAAAGATTAAGTTACTCTTCAAGCCAAAAACAAGTTAAGGTTAAGTTAACCTAATAAAGGTGACATTAGGGTTGGTTCGAGTTAAATTACAATTAGTTTAGGGATATTTTCACGTTAGGGTTAGGTTCAGAAACGATTAGGGTTATTGTTAGGGTTAGAAGACCTAAATAATTATATGCATAGAATGTGGTTAAATTTCTCTGTTGATATAAGAATAGAAGTTGGGCACTGTGGTAGATTATAATTCCACTGTGGGTAACATTTATTTTGATAAAGCCTCACAGTGTTATACAGTAATATTTACTGATGACCACGTTTCGAGCACAATTTATTGTTCAGGAAATATTACTATATAACACTATGAGACTTTATCAAAATAAATTTTACCCACAATGGAATTTATAATCTGTTGATACTCCAACTTAAAACTGAGAGCAATTTTTATCACATGTGAGAGCAAGGTATCCTCTGTAACACTTTTCTATAGTTTTTATGCATTTTTTCATAAATATATGAAATCAACGAAAGTATTTGATACACAAAAATGTCTCCTTCGCGTGATTGGTGCGTTCGGGTTCATTTGCTGATTGGTAGTTAGTTAGTGGTGCCCAACTTTGTCAACTTGTTACTACGTTAGTTGATAGACGTTTAAAATCATTCCATTATGGGTAAATTTTATTTTGATAGAGTCTCACAGTGTTATACAGTAATATTTATATATATATATATATATATATATATATATATATATATATATATTTAAAATCATACGAGAAATGGTATAAATCTATATTGTCTGACCCTCAACACCCGCTCCATTCTCAACTCTCTCCTTGCTGCATCTCATCTAGTAGAACAAGAAGTCAGTACAAAAGATTATATTGTTATACTGCCAAGTATAGGAACTGAACGATACCATATTTGGCCAGCCCTATGTTCCATGTGATAGAGACAATGTAAACCGTGAAACTTATGAATTACTATGTTGTTGGCTAAATAATTGGCCCTTTTATTATCACCTATTTGTAATGGATAGTGACAGTACCTCAATTAACTGACGATCTTAGCTACTAACCTTATTATTTACAATATATATGTATATATATATATATCATTAAATATTTAACAAAGAAATCTTTAGACCAATCAGATACTGGTAAACTTTGTCCTCAAAAAATGTATTCAGTAATGTAAGGTGTAACCTAGAAGGAGTGACTAATTGGAAGCTGGAAAAGGGGGCAGAAGTTGATATGACGTAATCAGTGTTGAGATAATGATTAGTCAGTAAGCTCGTGTAGAATGGACAGGAACTAGTGGAAAAGCGATAAAGTGTTTTTATATAAAATCTGTATGAAAAAGCAATGTTATTAATAAACAGTAATAGAGTGGTAATAAAATATGGATGATGGGAATAATAATAATAAAATAATAATAGTAATAACAATAATAACAGTAAGCTAACACAATAAATAGAAGCAAAATTATAGTAAGAACTTTACTCTGACCACGGTAGGGCGAGTGAATGAATGTAGCACTTTCGAATGCAGAGTTCCGGTTTCAGATCTTGAATGGCCAATGATTCAGCTATGTACAGATGGCGTATGCGAAGTCCCTTTGCACGATATTGAGGGACTCTGTGTAGCACCGTGAAGCATTCATGCAAGTGGGGGTGCTCGATGTCCGGAGATGACAAGGTGTTCAAGGATGGAGCTGCTGCTATTCTTCTTTTCTCCTCTGGCTAGCTAACCAAGCTGGGCAGTGTTCCAGAATACGTCTGTGGACCATTTTGTTCTTGAATTTTGAATCGAAGGGGATGCCCACTTTTGTAGATGATATTGATTTTGTCTCGTTTTTTGTTGTTTATTTGGGTCTGCACAATATTGGATGGAGGGAATGTTAGTATTAGCCGTCATTTTAGAGATATTCTTCATATATGATGGGATGTATTTTCTTGCGGTCTTTGAGGCTAGTTTCTGGCTGCTGTGAACGGCGTGTCTGAAGTCCTTTAGTGAGGTATTGAGGAAATCTTCAATTTTATGTCTATAATCTTGGCTTTATTCAGCCAATCTAATTTAGACTGGTTCTAAGTGATCGTTTTAGTTTAAATTATTGTCCTATTCAGTACCATATTTCGCTATTTACTGCTTTATCGGGGTCATTGTTTTTAATTATTCCTCTTAGATGGTTACCTACAATTCATTCTACCTGATGCCACTTACTCCTGGGAGGTGGAACGTATCAATGGTGAACGTGTCCATCCAAATCTAATCGCCGATCAAGTAGAAATTGACAATAATCAACTACGTTATTATGGTTTATCGTCTGCAGCAAACAATCTGCGGATACGTTGTATCTCGCTGAATGATACAGCACGTTATATATCCTCAGATTTCAGTTTTCGTGTATACGGTGAAAAAGGTGAACCGATTAAAACGTCTGATTTAGAACCTGGTGGAACACGATGGATAAGTGGAGGTTAGTTTTAAATAAAAGGCTATTTGTTATTTTTTAAAAATTAGAGACTAATGGTATACAACTTCAAAAATAAGATGGTCATTTTACTTTGTCATAATTGTAACGAATCAAAACTGACTCCCTGAGATTTGTACTCAGGAAACCGTTTTCCATATCCCACTGTATAGTTGATAAAACTTCCTTGAGACACGCGGAGTTAAAAAATGCTCCAAAGACAGCCAAAAGACGGTTAGATATATGTGGTTCTTTTCAAATCTTTAAATATTCCCATTTTTAATATTAGAACAAGACATATAAGCGAACAAAATTGTTGTTTTCAATTAGATCTTCTTCAGGCTTTACTCTAATTTACATAGATTTATATATAAAACAGAATTTAACCAATGACGGTGATTTTGTGGATCAAATAATAATAATAATAATAATAATGTGAAATGTTTTGAACGTAGTTAATAACGATGATTATAATGATAACAAAATATTGATAATAAGGTTTATGCAGGTGGCGATAAGAATAACAAAGGTAGTAATATATGTATATGTAGACAATTCAATAAATAAATTTGGCCAAATTTTAAAAGTTACGTAATACTAAGGGTGAAGTGGACAGATAATCAGACTTTAAATAAATAACATAAAAATACGAAGGAGATGGAAAATAAGAAAGGGTGGGAGGGTTTTGAATAGAATTCACCTAGGTCAAGGGAGAGACAAAGGTAGAACAAACTTCTTTTGTTGTATGCAAAGACTAGGATTGTTCTCTCGAATTCCCATAGCTTCGGCTATGTGTAAAAGACGGATTCGCATTCCGTTCGAAAGGCTCGATGGAATGCGATATTTTTATCCACTTGGTGACCACAGATTTCTTTCTTGCTAAGGTTGAAAATGGTCCATTGAAACAACTAATAGATAAAACTGATTCTTATTTTCGCTATGTTGATGATACGTTTATTATTCTTGATGTGAAAGCTGACAAGAACGAAATGTTAATAAAATTTAATGATGCACATCCATTGTTTATCTTCATTAGTGAAGAAGAACATGATGGTAGACTACATTTCCTTGACGTCCAATTGAGCAGAAGAGAGGATGGTTCACTCAAGAGAGATGTCTATAGAAAACCTACATCTGTAGGACAATATACACATTTCCTCAGTTTTGTACCGATCCGATACAAAGTCAATTTGGTCAGATGCCTCACGAATAGAGCAAGACGTATCTATACAGATGACTCCCTGCAAAATGAGTTAGAATACATCCAAAATACGCTGGTCCAAATGGGTTAGGAGACACATGAATACCAGGTACAATAAAGAAAAACTGACAACAGTTGAAAAGAAACAACTGTTCGTGAAATTGCAATTATGATTGCTCAAGTGAAAGACAAGCTACCTAGCTGTGCCACATCTATGTGTATCTATAAATTTAGTTGCTCCTGTGGATAGAGCTATATAGGGCGAACAACTAGACAGCTTAACAAACGCATTAATGAGCATCTTCCTTCATGGTTTGGAAAAGATCAAATAAAATCTATAAGAAGTTCTATTTTGGCTCATTTGATTTATAGCGGTCACCAAGTGGACAAAAATAGTGCCTTCAAAGTTATCTATCGCATTCCATCGAGCCTTTCGAACGGAATGCGAATCCGTCTTTTACACCTAGCCGAAGCTATGGGAATTCGAGAGAACACTCCTAGTCTTTGCATACAACAAAAGAAGTTTGTTCTACCTTTGTCTCTCCCTTGACCTAGGTGAATTCTATTCTAAACCCTCCCACCCTTTCTTATTTTCCATCTCCTTCGTATTTTTATGTTATTTATTTAAAGTGTGGTTCTTTTCACCAACAATAGTAATATTGAAAACTCGAGATTTCCTCAGCATTGCAGTTAGGCAGCTTTACAGTCAACAGAACTTCCAAATACGAAATAAATGCCGTAGAACAAGCTTAGCTAACCAATATTCAACTGTAAGAAGTACCTTAGAAGAATTAAGGAGAATTTTGTCAACAAGTTGGGATAAAAACTCTGTCCTTAAGAATCACACATCAACAATTCTTACTGACAGTTCAAGATCAAAATGACCTTGATTCGCTGAAACAAAATCACATTGTGAACGAGCATATCATCACTGTATCACAGAACTACAGAGAGAAGCACCAAAATTAAGAATTATACAGGAACAAAGATGAATAAAAAGGATTTAGTCAACGGGTGATGTACGAATTTACGAACAGTGATATACAGTCTAGGAGGAAAGCAGATAATCATTACAAAGTTGCCTGAAACATCCAAGTATCAGTATTATAATTAATGTTCAGGAGAGGTTTTCAATATTATTCCTCTACAGTAATTCATACTTCAAGACGTTTCTGACTGCATAGGTTACAATCACTCCTAGACAGTCTGTTGTGTAATGAACAGTCCCTGAGTGTAGAAATCTACAACTAATTCAGTCAGAACATTAGAAACTAAATACTTTAGTACTAATTCGCTGCTCCTCAGTAACTAGTCTCGAGAGAAATTTTCTAAAACTCTATGCAGAAGTCAACAGTGAGACGGAGGTTGATCAAATCATGTTTCAGAGCAAGTACTGATTGGTGTCTACTAACCGAACGCGATGGAGATGCACGGCTGAAGCCCTATGTTCCTCTAGGAATTAAAGGAAACAATAATAATAATAAAAGGTGATGGTGCGAAATCAAAAATTGATGAGAGTTGGAATTCATAAGGTCAGTGAATCTCAATTC